CGTACTAGCCAACCACGCTAATTAGAGGTGCGCGTGGAGGAGGACACTGAACACTGAACACAGAAAGCTGTTCTAAAGAAATGAGTTCAGGCTTTGGAGTCCAAATACTTATCTTTATCAAATCACCGTGGGCTAGTGATGATGATAATAACATCCTATGAGCATCAGCGGTGCCTGTGTGCGTGTTGGTTGCAACGCGAGTTGATCGAGTTGCAGGAGGCTAAGTTGGATGGTTGTTATCGCAGGCCCGTGGGGGATGGCGACGGTTTGAGAAGGCCTTCCTCCAGCAGTGGATAGATCATGACCGCTGATGATGACTAGATAATGGTGGGAAAGCTGAGCCAATTTTAAAATCCATAGTACCACAACTATGAACGGGGTCGCATGCACATACATAATTCAAGGCCGTAGCCATGGAGTCAATATTGGGGGGGACCAAATCTTCCAGGGGGTCTGGGGGTCCCCCCCCGGAAAAAAATCTAAATTTTAAAACTAATTTCCTGCCTAAAATATGAAAAAATGCACTAACACATGGGATGGACTTTTTAAAATTTATTTTTACAATAATGTCTAATAGTGTATTGTATTACATTGCTCTGTTTATCTTTTTTATATTTTCTTGTTTCATTGTATGTAATGGCATAGATTAGGGATTAATAAAGTACAACCATAACCACAATAATATAAACAGAAATCTATGCATTGTTATATGAAGACAAGTCAAGATAGTGTGGCCAAGGTTTAGCACATTGTTGTTTTTATTTACATTGCATAGCAATGATTATTTTAAAATAGTTTTGATAGCAATATATTGGGGGGGATATTTTGAGCATATTTGAGTTCGCTTGCTTAAACAAATGCCGCTTGATGACACTGGTCTGGAAATCAAATAGGCTGCTGGACCAAATATTGAATGTGTATGTGGAGACGTACAACGGAGTTATTCAGCTAAGTATTTAGTTGTAAACACAACGTACAGGGCTCGTGTCGCCTCCTAGCGCGCTAGAACAGAATAGCCCCCGAAGTTAAATAAAAAAAAAACACTCGTCAACAAACACTGCCTTAAAAGAACAACATACAGTACATACAGTATATACGATATATACGATCGACGTTTCGGGCAAATGTAAAATATTTGAGCGAGACCCCGGGGCCGACCCAGTATACGCTGGTGGGACTCTGTCGCTCCGCTGGTCTGGGAAAGCCTGGAAATTCTCCAGGAAGAAGTTAGAGTCTGTGTATAGTAGTGTATAGTGTAGTGTATAGTTTAGTTGTGTATAGTCTACAGCGTAGTGTATAGTAGTGTATAGTGTAGTGTATAGTTTAGTCGTGTAAAGTAGTGTATAGTCTAGAGTGTAGTGTATAGTCTATAGTAGTGTATAGTCTATAGTAGTGTATAGTGTAGTATTGTATAGTAGTGTATAGTCTATAGTAGTGTATAGTGTAGTCTTGTATAGTAGTGTATAGTCTATAGTAGTGTATAGTGTAGTATTGTATAGTAGTGTATAGTCTATAGTCGTGTATAGTGTAGTCTTGTATAGTAGTGTATCGTCTATAGTAGGGTATAGTTTAGTTGTGTATAGTCTACAGCGTAGTGTATAGTAGTGTATAGTGTAGTGTATAGTTTAGTCGGGTAAAGTAGTGTATAGTCTAGAGTGTAGTGTATAGTCTATAGTAGTGTATAGTGTAGTATTGTATAGTAGTGTATAGTCTATAGTAGTGTATAGGGTAGTCTTATATAGTAGTGTATAGTCTATAGTAGTGTATAGTGTAGTCTTGTATAATAGTGTATAGTCTAGTGTAGTAGTGTAGTGTAGAAGTGTATAGTGTAGTCTTGTATAGGTGTGTATAGTCTATAGTGTAGTCTTGTACAGTGAGGGAAAAAAGTATTTGATCCCCTGCTGATTTTGTACGTTTGCCCACTGACAAATAAATGATCAGTCTAGAATTTAAATGGTAGGTTTATTTGAACAGTGAGAGACAGAATGACAACAAAAAAATCCAGAAAAACGCATGTCAAAAATGTTGTAAATTGATTTGTAATGAGGGAAGTACGTATTTGATCCCTCTGCAAAACATGACTTAGTACTTGGTGGCAAAACCCTTGTTGGCAATCACAGAGGTCAGACGTTTCTTGTAGTTGGCCATCAAGTTTGTACACATCTCAGGAGGGATTTTGTCCCACTCCTCTTTGCAGATCTTCTTCAAGTCATTAAGTTTTCGAGGGTGACGTTTGGCAACTCGAACCTTCAGCTCCCTCCACAGATTTTCTATCTGATTAAGGTCTGGAGACTGGTTAGGCCACTCCAGGACCTTAATGTGCTTCTTCTTGAGCCACTCCTTTGTTGCCTTGGCCATGTGTTTTGGGTCATTGTCATGCTGGAATACCCATCCACGACCCATTTTCAATGCCCTGGCTGAGGGAAGGAGGTTCTCACCCAAGATTTGACGGTACATGGCCCCGTCCATCGTCCCTTTGATGCGGTGAAGTTGTCATGTCCCCTTAGCAGAAAAACACCCCCAAAGCATAATGTTTCCACCTCCATGTTTGACGGTGGGGATGGTGTTCTTGGGGTCATAGGCAGCAAAATGGAGCTCTTTGACGCCAAAGAGCTCCATTTTGGTCTCAACTGACCACAACATTTTCACCCAGTTGTCCTCTGAATCATTCAGATGTTCATTGGAAAACTTCAGACGGGCATGTATATGTGCTTTCTTGAGCAGGGGGACCTTGTGGGCGCTGCAGGATTTCAGTCCCTCACGGCGTAGTGTTACCAATTGTTTTCTTGGTGACTATGGTCTCAGCTGCCTTGAGATCATTGACAAGATCTTCCCGTGTAGTTCTGGGCTAATTCCTCACCGTTCTCATGATCATTGCAACTCCACGAGGTGAGATCTTACATGGAGCCCCAGGCCGAGGGAGATTGACAGTTCTTTTGTGTTTCATCCATTTGCGAATAATCGCACCAACTGTTGTCACCTTCTCACCAAGCTGCTTGGTAATGGTCTTGTAGCCTATTCCAGCCTTGTGTAGGTCTATAATCTTGTCCCTGACATCCTTGGAGAGCTCTTTGGTCTTGGCCATGGTGGAGAGTTTGGAATCTGATTGATTCTGTGGACAGGTGTATTTTATACCGGTAACAAGCTGAGATTAGGAGCACTCCCTTTAAGTGTGCTCCTAATCTCAGCTCGTTACCTGTATAAAAGACACCTGGGAGCCAGAAATCTTTCTGATTGAGAGGGGGTCAAATACTTATTTCCCTCATTAAAAATGCAAATCAATTTATAACATTTTTGACATGCGTTTTTCTGGATTTTCTTGTTGTTATTCTCTCACTGTTCAAATAAACCTACCATTAAAATTATAGACTGATAATTTCTTTGTCAGTGGGCATACATACAAAATCAGCAGGGGATCAAATACTTTTTTCCTTCACTGTATAGTAGTTTGCAGTCTATAGCAGTGTAGTGTTGTATAGTGTAGTAGTGTAGTGTATAGTGTAGTCTTGTAGTGTATAGTCTACAGTAGTGTATAGTGTCGTAGTGCTGGAGTCTGTGGCCAGGGAGAGGGAGGTTCTGGACTGTCCGACTCAACACGCTGCCGCCGCGACCCTCACCAGGACAAGCGGATTGAGAAACGACCGAATGAGGTGTCGGTCAAAACACTTCATTTCAAGTGGCCTTAGCGACCACATAGACCACCTAGTCATGATGTTCATCATGAGAGGCAACGTGATCTGGGTCTCGCCTAGGCGGGTTCAGCCCGAAACACGACTCTCGTTCAGAACACATCAAAGCGCATGCGCACAACTCACCCGCTTGAGCTACCAAATGCTAAAAATTACCTGTATCGCTGCATCGCCGCATCTTCAAAGGGCCCCGAGTCTTACAAAAGGAGGCTGCCAAGCAGCGACTTTTGCCGTGGGTGGTGTAATCGCACTGTTGTAAAACGCTTGTTTCAGAGTCCACAAACTTCACTGCTCGTGTCGACTCCGTGGCTACAGACCCCCAACTCGCGACGCTCCAAGCTACGGGTGGACTGCAAATACCCAAGGTAGCAAAACACGCCATTTACTTTCCCATCGATCACTGATATTTACCTGTACGTGGCCAACAATAGGCGATTTGAATGATTGGATCTCGTGCAGAGAAGGGAAACGTAGGAACCCGTTTGGTCAGAATCGACTCTGCGACGTGGATTCGTCCCTTCGAACTCGCAGTCCCCCTGTAGATACAACTCTTGATAGTTGCGAAAAAGGCAGCGTTGTTTCATGCATCTCAAGGAGATTGTAAGATACAATCGCCCTCTTTTTAACGTAGCTGTCATTGGAAACCTGTAAGCTTTCTTGAGAGATAAACAGTCACGTTTTGATCAAGTGCATAATAATACCACTCAAGACAATGCGTACACAAGCACTTCCCCCTCTTCTACTTTTGTGATTATTGTTCCCATGTAATGTCCAGGGCTTTTTGGCTATCAAGAGTTGATAGGCCTATTAATCGTACAGCATATACGTTTCCAGCAAAGTTATGTTGTTTGATAAATAACGGTTTTTAAGTTGCATTTTGGAGTGTGATTAACCCAGTCTGAGCAAATGAGACAGAATTTGGAAGTGAAACGGTAACGAGATTGCAGTGGTTTGAATCGGCGACCACCATGCACAACAGGTGGTACAGGCTGCGAGAATATATTTTTGGAGCGCAGTAGCGTCCAGTTACACTCCTTCTATGCTCCCCGCCTGCACGGACCAGCGCAATGAACGATAGTCACCCCCCCCGTCCCCCATGACCTGCACGGCATAGGGACGCCTTCATCCAGCAGTGGATTGACAGAGGGCTGTACTTGTAGAACCTGGAACACCCCGAGAGAACGATATATAAAGACTGATCAAATAGGACCCACGGGAACAAGGCTGAAAAACCCCTGGAATAGACCAATGAAGGTCCATTGCGATATTCCAGGACATGAAAACGCACGCAACAGCAATGTATACCGTTCGTTGAGATCTGGGGACAAGTTTTTATTTACAAAGATAGTGCTTTGATATTGTCCTGACCACAAACTACTGTACTATACGCTACGACCATTCACAACTACACATTTTAGTTGCAGAGGTACAAATCTTGACTTAAAGCTTTCGTGACTGCAGGAATTCATATTCTTTGGGTCTTTCGGTAAAGTCACGTAGATAGGTTCAAAGAAAATAATTTGTAATTTTTTTGTTATTTTCTTTGAACATATCTACGTGACTTTACCGAAAGACCCAAATAATATGCAGAGGTACAATTTAAATTCACGTTCTACTAGAGGTATGAATTCCCCAAAAATGTTGTACATTTACACAAAGATTACTCGCTAAATCTGTACAAATATGAACTTTCTGTACAACTTTAATAGAAATTAAAACGAAGACAGAAAACCACGGTTGTGTTAGGATAAACAGAGCTGTCAGTAAAGCCATCATATAATGTATGACCTTCCTTCCATCCAATTCAGACTTTACACTACTTTGCATGATCCGCATGTTCCTACGGGGTAACATTCCATGTCCTCACAACACAAACGAATACAAACCAATAAGCACCAACACAGAGTACATTGCAGGGAAGGGCACAATCCATTCACTCCACGGATCACACAAGGCGATTTACAGCCAGGAATTGACTGTTGCCTTCTTACTCAACAACCCAGCTTCAAATGGTCAATATTGCCTGTCAATCTAATGCGCGTGCGATTGGCACGTGAAGACGGGTCATATTTGTGGAGCCGATGCTGTGAAAGAACACATTGAGAGGAACCACTTGAGAAAACCCCCTGTGACAAGAAAACGCTCTCAGGAGGGATGTGACCTGAAGAAGTTTCCAGGACTTGCAGCAAGACGATGGCCATAATGCCAAACTACAAGCGGAATGACCCAGCAGGACGTGAAAAATATTCCGAGCACGACCGTGGCAACCCACGCGGTACAGAGGTCACTAATTAGATAAACGCCAAGTGTGTTAATCCAGCAATTATTTGATTGCTGTTGTCGGTTCTCGCCCTTGCTCCGGTCACCATTTCTTGGCGTCGCCTTATCACGGACTCCTGCAGCTTCGTGTTTGCCGCCACCAGTTTTGTTGTCCTTACCCCGCACCTCCGATTAGCACGGTTGGTTACGTACGGTGCGAAAGAAGTTCAACGTACAGACGTACACAAGGCCTCCTCTCCCAAAACCGATCCTAGCTCGCAGTCGTGTCACCCCCGAAGCTCGACATCGCCCGCCTCTCCCCGCTGTCTTCGCACCATGCTTGCTCCTCCCACGCCTCCTCTCTCATTCCCTGCTTCTCTTCCGCTCTCCAACCTGACCTTTGTGGTTATTCTCTCTCTGCTCTCCCTTGTCTCTCCCCTCTTTCTCCTCACCCCTGTGTTTCCGCTCTCTCTGCTCTCTCCCGTCTCTCCCCTGTTTATACTCACCCCTGTGTTTATCCTCTCTCTCCTCACCTCTGTTTTTATTCTCTCTATGCTCACCCCTATCTCTCCCCTCTCTCTCCTCACCCCTGTGTTTCCGCTCTCTCTGCTCTCCCCTGTCTCTCCCCTCTCTATCCTCACCCCTGTGTTGTTTATCCTCTCTCTCCTCACCCCTGCTTCTCCCCCATCTATCCTCACCCCTGTATTTACTCTCTCTATCCTCACCTTTGTTATTGTCTCTCTCCTCACCCCTGTCTCTCCCCTGTCTATCCTCACCTTTGTTATCGTCTCTATCCTCACCCCTGACTCTCCCCCCTCTATCCTCACCCCTGCTTTTACCATCCCTCCGGTATCCTCTGTCTCTCCCCTCGCCCACGTGTCTCCCCTCTTTCTCCTCACCGCCACCTTCTCCGTGCCTGCGCCCATCTTCAATCCTACGATGGCTTCCCGCTCCTTCGCCCCATTTTCTGCCACCCACCCCAGGCTCCCGGAACCCCGGCCAGCGACTGCCGCTCGCGCCTCCCTGGTCGTGCCGCGACGACCCAGCAAGTTGCTCCATCGCACCGTTGCTCCGCCTGCCGTCCGTGCTTTGCGGTGGTTCCGCGCTTCGTGACTCCGCTTCTCCCTTCCGCTTCTTGCGAGCGCTCTCCTCTTCCGCGTCACTCTCCGACCCGGAGCTTGAAGATGACGACGACGACGACGACGATGACGAGGTGCTGCTGCCGTCGTTGGATGGTAACTTGCTTTTCTTATGTTTCTGATGCTTGCACCTCTTCTTTTTGGTGTCGGACTGGGAGTCTGAGCTCTCGGCGTCGTCGGAGCTCGACTCTGCTCTGCGTTTATTCTTCTTCCCCTTGCTCTTCTTCTTCTGCTTGTTTTTCCTCCTCTTCTTATCCTTTTTTGTTTTCTTTTCAAGGCGGTCGAGTTTCCTGCAAAAGGCAAGGACAGACACCACGCGTAAACAAGATGACACCTCAAGCGGCACTTGCACTACACTGCGAGGCACGTGGCGATTCTCCCCACTCGCCATTCAATTGTAACGGTGACCATTTATTTCAAGAATCAATTCTTTGTTTGCTATTGTGGTAAATGTAGCAATTTGGTAGGTGCAGGGTGAAAAAAAAAACAAATGGCATTCAACGTATTGTATAAAAATCTAAAATAATTAACATCCATGCGCAATTTACCATATGTATCACGCGTGACATAATCAGTTCTGATGCATTGTTGCAACGTTACGTGCCTATCAACCAGAACGAACGACGTTAGTAGTGAAACACATCATAAATACTAAAAAAAAACATCCCTATCGCAGACAAACAGACAGGCGTCACCGTTGATGGTGTTGCTGGGTGAGGAGGGTGGTGATCGCGACACTGACCTGAGCAGCTTGCGTTTCTGCTTCGTCGTCAGTGACTTCAAAAACTCCACTTCTGGGTCTTCATCCTCCTCACTTTCGATCAATTGCTGCAAACAACAAAACGCGTTTTGTTTGTGGAAAGTGGTGCCGTTGTTTCCTGGCGAGCCGGGTTCGCTCCCAGGTCATGACCAATTTCAACCGACGTTAATTTGTTACGGGTAAAGTTCCATTGAGCCAGTTAGCCAGCTAAGGTGCAAAAGAGATCCAAGGTGCATCAGTACAGAACAACAACATGAAAGTGAACCAGACAGAGTTACAGACAACAACGGAACATAATGCGTCAAGAGCTGCAGGAAAAAATAGCGCATAATGAACAAAAAACAATACAATTGACAATCTACACAAGCATAGTGCACCTAAAACAGGAAGACTGCACTAAAAACAAAGATGAAGTAATGAATGGTTGGAGGTGAAGCGAACATATCAGTGACAACTGCAAACTGAACTAAGCCTGGGCTAGGCTGATTTGGCTTTAAATGAAAACCTGATGCAGTGGTGTGGTCAGCATCATCCCCGGGGAGACAGAGTTTCCCCAAAGTGCGAAATTCTGGCCCCATTACCCCCTCATGTACCTTATCACCCTTAGCAGGCACTCACTAACAGCACTTGCCATCAATGTGGTGAAACATATGTGCGTGCGTGTGTATGCCGCAATAACATACTGCATGGTTAGTGTACTGCACACAAACCCTGCGACCAGATTTCCATTCCCAGCCATGTCAGTGACGATTATTTGAACCAGTCCTGGGCTTCCCCTAAGTCAACTCAGCTATGAATGTGCAGTGTGAATATTGGCAATGGGGAGACAAAAGATTGTTGCTGGCCAGCCCAACCCTCTTATGCGCTGTGTAAGCATTTGCAGAGGCTTGCTAACAAGCCTCTACAAGAGTTCTACATGGGGGATCTTGGTCTCTTGTGTGCTGGTGTTACCTGTGAGGGGTCTGCAGCATCACCCTTCCTGCCCAGCACACACTGCTTGAGCGCAAATCCGCTGCTCCTCATCTCCACCATGAGGTCAGATGGGTGCATGGCCGGCTCTGTGGGAGACACAAACCAACGTGACACCAGCTCATTAGAAGGGGGAGCACGTCAGTGTGCCTCCATCATGAGGCTTTCTGCTTCCAATATAGAAAGTCAAACTACAGTCACCCAGGTAATTGTTTCGGAATTAATTCAGCTGTATTAAATGTTTGTGGCACAGCACAGCGATGCAATGGTGTTGTGCTGTACTACTCACTGGTATCAGGCCAATGTCTTGCACATTCATTATCATCAGCCATCAATCTGTATACTACCGCATGAAAGCCTCCCCTAGCCGTTGCCAGCTGTCATGGTCACGCAATGCAACAATTCATCGAGCTGATGCACATGAGCTGATCTCAACGCTGTCTCCAGTGGACAGCTTCTCAGCAGTGTCACATCCGTTGGCTGCCTGTCCATCGTTAGTCTCAATCGGCATCCATCATCCCTTTTCATGCTGTGCTTTTGCCAAAGCCCACTTACTTTCCGAAACAGTCAATATAACATATCTAACTTGCTTATGGCCCATAATTCATTTGTTCATGTTACTGTTCGTCTTGCAAATTATATTACTCCATGGTTTTCACATTTTGTTATCTGCACTGAATTCGTCTAAATCTGCTCACAATATTTTCGTCTTCTTGCACTGACCAATACTATTTTACCGTTCATTTTATTGCCTTTTCTGCACAGGTCTCCACCATGAGACTAGCTTTCGTCGAAATTGGCCTTCACTTCGTTATCACTAAAATATGCCAATCAGTGCCATCCTGTAGCAATAGGTCTTACCCTTTTAACTGGCACAAAAAATGACACCTTTATTCAAGGCATCATGTTTGCCTCGGGGTTGAATAAAGGTGTGGACCAATCAAATTCAAGGACAGTGCATATTATTATCAGAGTTGTCTTTTTGTCTGCATTTTGACTGCTTGTGTTGTGGTTATTGCAAACATGATGCCTTGAATAAAGGTGCCAGTTTTTGTGCCAGTTAAAAAGGGTAAAACCTATTCCTATATCTTGTTACTGGCAAAGGAGGTCTCATAGTGCCATGCTGGTTTAGTTACCGGTGCCGTATTGATCTGGGGTGTGACCTAGAAAGGCAAACTCGTGTGCACCTGGCTCATCAGTAGTGGCGGATGTGGCATTGATGCCGGAGAGGCCGTAGAGAGGGCACTCGCGGTCCGTATTCACGTGGCCCCACTTGTGGCACTTGATGCAGCGAACGTTCCGCACCTGCGCACCGCATCCACAATGACGGGGTCATCGTTAACGCCAGGGCTTAAGTTCAGCCGGGTTTGTCTGGGTCAGTGACTTGAAAAATATTTTTGTAACTGGCACACGAATATATATTTTTTTGTTATCACTGTGGTTAATAGTTGTGTGCCAACTACTCCCCTCTGCAAATTATGCAGAAATTGTTCAGTCAGAAATTTAGCCCTGTTTAGTGTCTGCGGTGCACTGCTCTCTGCAACCAATGCCATTAGGGGTCTGTGCTGGCTCCACCACAACCGATGGAGATAAATAAAGGCGAATTTTCCCGTGTGTGCTCGCAGCAGTTAGCGCACATCACTGTAAACCCAGCGACCTGGGTTTTATTCCTCTTCACGGCTACAATCAGTGGCAAATTATAACTAAAACTAGTCTTAGGCCTCCCCTACATTGACAAAGCCTTAAATGAGTAACTTGGGACAGTGTGAAAACATCAGAACTGGGGAGAAAAAGATGTCCGAGCTTGGTGTAAGCCACAATACCCCCTTCATGCACCAAACCCGGCTTCCTTGCTGCTCCCTAACAATACTTGCCCCATCAATCTCTGTGGGCTACATGAGAATCTTTGTCGATGTGTGTGCATTAGTTGTCCATCACCTGAATTCCGAAAGGCTGGTCGCGAATATTGTCATCGTCCTTTGCGTACCTGCAACAGAAACACAGCTGGTCACCAAAGGCCACCACACCAGAATGCAGGATGCAATTTGCATAAAGATCGCACACTTTCACCGAGCATCTGGAAGCTTACTTTTCTCTCGGAGCCCCCTTCTGCCACTCAAACTTGTACTCCTTTTCTCCTCCCGTCTCCTTCTGTTGAGAAAACACAAATGTGAACCATGAGGTCATGCACAGGGAAAACAAAAGCATTTACGTTATTGAATATGGTATAATGTAGTCATTTAAATAAACGTTCAGTTGTCCGTGGCAATAGCATATACAATGACAAAAAACAATCCCACCTGCTACAGTGCCAAGAGCTCAATGCAGGCTAATTAAGTTGGAAAAAATATTTCCATGGAACGGTGGGTTAAATTGAATAACTTGGAAGTGTTGCTGTCCTATTCATAAACAAGGGTATTTGGAGCGTAGCTGAAGTACACTTAGCAACATGTAAACATGCAACATCATATAAAAAAGTGAATGAAGGCTTGAAACTAGCACTTACTTCCTCTTCTGCAGGGATATGCCAGAAAAAAACAGAAGTGCAAAACACATGTTAGTTTGTTGTATAGAAAAATACTTATTGCAAATAAAGGCTTTATCAAATTCAAGCTAATTACAAAAACCACCAAGGCAAGACCTAGCATGGGAGCATCATAAAAACATATTTGTTTTTTTTTTTAATCTCTGCTCAACTCAGCCAATTTTGCATGATGTAACTCACCTTGGAAAATGTGTAATTAGAATGTTGAACGTCCTTGTAATTTAAAGCAATAAAATACCAAACTGACATATATTTATGGCGAAATGTCATATCCGTGCAATTTTTATTGCACCAGAACACTGCTTCAAGTACGATGCATCTGTACACCCGCAGTTCATAAAATCATAATTTCGCGATGTTGATTTATACGTGTAGTGGTTTATTATTTATGAATCGAAAGGGCTTTCAGGATCGCGTTATATAAATGCGAACAATAAACAAGCTTGACAACTTAGTTTAGCTGAATACATAAACACAAAAGATGCTACTTAATAATAAACAGAGCAAGTGAATGAGGGCATTCAGCCAAAACTAGACATCTTTTCCATTCTGTGACAAAAAAACCTTCTTTAATCTTTAATATACTTTGTAATATAACTGAATTTGCAACAACTGAATGTTAACATTTTGGAGTCTCTCGATACTTAAGCTGGGTTCTTCCGTGCCAGGAACATTTTGAGGTGCATTGCTTCAATTAACTTTGCCATGGGATGAGATTAGATATTTCACTCATCAATACCATATTCGATGGGAAAACTTTAAGCGTTATCGAGTTATTTGTGGACAGAAAAAATGAATTACTGTATGCAAAAGCTTTTTTCTAATAAACGTATGGGTTCTCACATTTATTATTATTACTACTGAAGCCTCAAATGTTTGCCAAAATGCCTAGGACAGCCTACGGGTAAACTTCTAAGATAGGATCTTTAACTCAACACGAGGGAGTACCATTTCTTACCTTTGTAGGTGCCTGGTGGTGCCTCATACATGAAGTTTAGTCCATTCTTCACACGTTCATCTCCCATGAGTAACCTGCAAAACCCAGGAAACCATCATCACAACCCTGCAGTGGACGCTCCTGCTGCAAGTGTTCATTTGTTTGTTCAGTTTTATTTGTTAAGAAAAAAATACCTTCTCAAACCTGCTGTTACATATGATAAACTAAAATTATGATAAATATAAATTCATTACGCTTCACACAATTACTATTGCAACTGACGCCAGGTCTGTTTTGTGTCTCCATGCATTCCATACCCTACCTGTACATGTGACAGTTGATTGGTTGATGAGTGGTCAGTAAAACGTGTGATGAGCTGCCTATACTCGGTGGACTTGTTGGTTACACATGGGGATGCATAATCACACATTCACTAACAGTACAAAATGTACTATTGGTGAATGTTAGTGAATTTACTTGCACCCTCAGAAATAGCTTTATTGAAGTATTGATTCTCTGAGAAAAAGCTTTTATCAACTTTTATCACTTGAACTGCAGTGTTGGCAATGCCTTCAGAACAGAGCCAGCGCTGATGAGACATTAGCTTTGAATCAACGTTTCAGTCAACCGTGACTAAACTTTATTCTCATGTGCTAATGAGATGATGGTCTCACCAATGACTGCAAAGCAAAAACATTAAATTTGAGCACTGAAAATAAACATTCAGGTTTGACATGCAATGAAAATTACTTTCATATAAAAGGTGTGCTTATATTCTGAATAAAAAGGCCAACATGAACTGACTCGAGTTTTGTGATAGTAGTTGTGACGTTATCTTGACATGGTCTCGGCTGTTCTGACAAGGCAATGTGCATTGCTCATTAACAGTTACACAATTTTGTCTAATGAGAGCTCACTTGTAAGACGAACTGGGAAAAATAGAACATTTGAGAAAAAATCATTTAAATGTATTTAAGAGTACATTGGAGTGTAATCCACCCACCCCTGGTGCATGGTTTGTACACACATAGAAAATACTCTTAAATTATCCTGAGGCTAAAAGTCACTTTCAAACTGCTTCGCAAAGAATATTCTCCAAAATAAAATAACTACATATGAATTCTAAATAACGAACGTGAACATTACATTAAGTACATTAATTTAACACTGTACTGAGGGTGTAACAGCTGCTACATGTTAGAAGTGGTGGAATATTCACCGGTTATTATAAATCTCCTGCTCTTTGGTGTATTGCGTAAGCAGCTCGTCTTGTTTCTTCTTCTCGAACGCGACCTTTTGCTCTGCCATCCATACCTACAAACAAACCAAACTATCAATCGCTGGTCCAGCCTTTCATACATTAGGCCAACAGCGGATTCACAACCACAACACACAACTCTTTTTCAAATCCCCTTTGTATCTAACTAAATTAGGTAAACCGATACCTGTTTTTAATCTGGATCTGGCCTTTACCCAATTCAGATCTGGTTGGATATAAACTAAACAGGGTGCTTCAATTTTTTTTAACACTTCTGAGAATTTGCAATAATACAAGAAATGTGCTCTGGAGAACCTGGAGACGATTCCAGGCACGTATTGACAATGATGGCGAAGAAGTAGAGACTCTTTGACTTTTTGAAGCTATTAACATACATTTGTTATCATGTTACAGTGTATTTCCGTAATTTTTTCCATTCCTAATTATAGTCTCATAATAAGTGTTAAAAATGTTTGAAGCAACCTGGGTATATATAGGATACTGGCAAACCCGAGATATTGTTTTAATCCACGCAGCTGCCTGTTATTAAACCGTGGTCTTAAGTGTAGTGAGTTCACTGTCTGAGTCCAGCCACCAAAGTACTGCACAAATAAACCATGCCATTACATTTGGCTGAATTTCAACTCTTCAGGGGTTAAAATATCTGGTTCTCATGCGATGACCATTGCTCTCTGTAACAGTGCGGGTGGGGAAGTGCTGCCCTCTCCTGCGTGTGCACCACAAAGTCATTTGCAGATGCCAATGGTAGCTCTGTGGTGTCCGCTTCCACGGACCTTTCTCAAACACCGAAGGGTCGCACTATGCCAGAGCTCGGAATAGACTCGTCGTTTCACGACACGGAGGTGAAGAAAACACTGACATGATAACACATACCCAGTTGTATAACCGCGTCTTTAAATGTAATTACAATGATAATTACAATCGTTGCCGTCATATTGTACAAGGCTGGCGCGGCGAGGCCTGCTCCAGGCCTGTCCTAGCCGCTGGGAGCCGCCTCTCCATCTCACCCGTTTGATGTTTTCCTTCGACGCAGGATGGAAATCCTTTTTACACATGAAGTTAGCGAACGACTTCCCCATGGCGAAAACGTAATTTAGCCCGAGGATAGAGAGCGAGAGAGATAAAAACAAACGACGAACAACAAAAATCAACAACACATCGCAACCAGAAGCGAGAGAAGCCTTCAACTTTGACCCGTCGCGCGAGACGATGACGTCACGTCGCGCGAGACGATGACGTCACGTCGCGCGAGACGATGACGTCACGTCGCGCGAGACGATGACGTCACGTCGCGCGAGACGATGACGTCACGTCGCGCGAGACGATGACGTCACGTCGCGCGAGACGATGACGTCACGTCGCGCGAGACGATGACGTCACGTCGCGCGAGACGATGACGTCACGTCGCGCGAGACGATGACGTCACGTCGCGCGAGACGATGACGTCACGTCGCGCGAGACGATGACGTCACGTAGCGCGAGACGATGACGTCACGTAGCGCGAGACGATGACGTCACGTCGCGCGAGACGATGACGTCACATCGCCGCCGCCACGCGTTTTTTTATTTTTACGATTAAGTAAAAAATATTTTTTATTGATTTATATATTTTATTATTCTATTGTTTCCCTTCAACGTGACTTTACCGAAAGAGCTAAGAATATGAATATAAAAATCATTTAATTCTAATCCAGCGCGTGACCGCCACGCGGTTAACTTAAACATAACGCGGCGAAGTGGATTGAATATAAATATGTTATATTCTTAGTTTTTTCGGTAAAGTCACGTTGAAGAGAAAAAAAACTAAGAATATGAATTACTGCAGTCACGAAAGCTTTAAATCAAAATATAAATGTTTTCGTTTAAATTTTGATTTAAAGCTTTCGTGACTGCAGTAATTCATATTCTTAGTTTTTTCGGTAAAGTCACGTTGAAGAGAAACAACAAAATAACAAAATATATATAAAACAATAAAAAATTCTCACGACGTTTCGACCATAACTCAAACGGTCATCATCAGGTGTGTCGGTTTGCATAAATTTATTTTTAAAACGGCACATTTATTTATTTATAAAAAAACGTTAGCGTCACGCGCAGCGATTGGCAGTTTGCCCAGGACTAGTCCATCTATTTTTTTTTTAAAAGAGGAGGGGGGAGACGAAATTTTTTATAATGTATGCTGTCTGAAAGCCACTGTAAGCGTGAACAATCAATCAAGAACTGAAATTATTTATCAAATCTTTCCAATGATTGCTAAGATAGAATCCATCTTCTCGGTTGAAATTGTCTCTGTGCTTGTATATGTGGATAGCCTCATGAACGAATCTCTCATGGAAGCCAGATGGCTTACAAAGAACCTCCGTCTTGGAAAAGTCAATGGCATGTGAGCCTACTGAATTAGAACAATGATCTGCTACGGCCGAGGTGTTGGTCCTACCGTGTTTAAGGTCTGCTTTATGTTCACGAATGCGGTCCGAGACATGGCGTTTGGTTTCTCCAATGTAACTACTACCACAGAGGCAACTTAGTTTGTAGACACCAGGGTATTGTATGTCCGGAATCACATCTTTTACAGATGGAACCAGATCACGGATTTTATGTAATGTGTTGAAACGGACCTGGATCTTGTGTTTATTTAAGATTTTGGAGATATTTTTTGTGATCCCAGCAATGTAGGGTAAAGTGATGGTTTTGAAAGGCTCCTCAAGAGGGTTCTTCTTCATGGTTTGAGTGATAGCTTTGCGGATTGTATAGTCGGAGTAACCATTAGCCCTAAGAGCTTGGTGTACGTGCTTGAGTTCACTGCTTATGTGTTCCTGGTCGGATATGCATTGGGCTCTATGATACAGAGTCTTGATGAGAGAATTATTTTGGATGTCCTAATTAAAAAGAGACCTGATGGTTCAATGAGCCACTCTGTCTACAGGAAAGCTACCCATACGGATGCTTATCTGAAACCGGATTCCCACCACCATCCATCACAGAAGAATTCTCTCATCAAGACTTTTAATTTATTTTTAAAGGGGGGTCAAGGGAGGGGGCGGGGTCAAGGGAGGGGGCGGGGTCAAGGGAGGGGGCGGGGTCAAGGGAGGGGCGGGGTCAAGGGAGGGGGCGGGGTCACGTGACGCGTCTGCACCCGCGCCGTCTCGAGGTACCCCCCCAACCAACCCAACCGCTCGCTAATAGCGATAACAACCCTCTACAATCACACAATCCTCTACAATCACACAATCCTCTACAATCACACAACCCTCTACACTCACACAATCTTCTACACTCGCACCAGCCTCATCTTCACGCCTGTTCTGACAAGCAAGCTCTTTATGCTGTGCTACATAAAAAACACATACACACATATATACACATACACACAACACATATATACACACATATATACACAACACATATATACAGCCGCGTACGCGACAGCAGCGCCTGGCGATCGGCTCCCTCGCGCCTTCTCCCTCCCCCACTCCACTCGAGCCGGCTCCGAGGGCCTCGCCCGGCCCCGAGGGCCTCACCCGGCCCTTGGCACGCTAGGCCGGACGCCCTGGAAAGAGGCACCCGCGCGCGGCGCGCTGCTGTCTCTCAATAGGTGCCACGCGAACAACAGCTGCCCCCTACCCCCTACCCCCCCCGTGTTTGCTCAGCCCTTTGAGATTAGCGATGGGAGGGGGGGGGTAAGGGCTTCGTGATGCACCGCACCGCGTCTTCTAGAACGCACGCCGCCTGTAATGTTCCCGAGGGGAGATGGAGCGGTGAAATCGGCTGGTGTTGCAGCTGCTGCACGTGGCTCGTCAACACATGGCTTGCTACGGCTTTTAGGCCTTCATCCAGCAGTGTGGCGGTGTCCACAGATGGGCTCGTGGTTGTATAATTATCCGCGCTGAGACGTCGCAAGCCAAGCAGGAGGGCAGCCTGCATGGGACTCGCGTGGCTGAGGGTCGTGCACGCCAGCGCTGCTACTCGGCTGGGCAGCAGAGGGCAGTGCAGCAACATGGATGCGCTCTTACTCTTTGGTTCTATTCGGTAAAGTCACGTAAAAGTATATATAAAAAAATATTCAAGACGTTTCGGCCACAAACACAAGTGGCCTTCATCGGGTGAAGGGACCAGGCTGTCTCGAGGACAGCGCTGGAGTGAACACAGCCAAGGTCAGACCGCGCGACCTTTAAGCTGTGTGAGAGTAAGGTGCCAAAGAGTATGGATCCTTGCAGTCACGAAAGCTTCAAATCTAGAATGGATGCGCCTGCTACGCTCACACGTCTCTTTGCTCACCCAAAGTTCGAACCCGCACTGACCAGCCAGATGAAGTATGGTCAAACAACCCCCTTAACCAACGCGGCATGGGGGGGTGGGGACGGATTGATACGGGGCTGTACATACCAAGTGTTGTAAGATTTTACACGGGGCACGCGAATATTTGTTTCTCATCACACTTGTCGTCTTTGACGTCCAGCAAAGGAAGCGACGATGTCGTTCCGAACGGGCAGCCCTCCCAGGTCATGTGACACCTTCGTGGCGTTGCCGCCAGCGACGGCCGGCGGCCACGTGGTCTTCGGCAAGAACTCTGACCGGCCGAGCGACGAGGTGCAGGAGGTGGCGGTGCTGCCCGGAGCCACTCACCCACCGGGCACCAAGCTGCAGGCACGGCCCAGCGATCGCGAGCTCCCGCACCCACCTGAGCAGGAGCCAGGGCCTGAATAAGTGAGGGATATCGGCTTGGGCAGCTGCCGTGTGACTGTTGGCACGCTGGACAATACAGAGACCTCCCCTCGCTGGTTCGATTCCACCTCCCAGCGTTAAAGTTAAAACAAGTTTATTAAATAACCCCCTCCCCCCCGCCTGTCTGCCTCTGTCCACTGGGCAGTATAAATGGCTACAGCACATTTGATAGGTCGCGTGTGCTGGGGTAAACTGTGGGTATCTCCACATTTAAGATATGTGGCCAAATACCCTCCCAGTCGGGCTCTCTAGAGCTCCCTCTAGTGCAGAGCTGCACCGTTACTTTTTAACCTGTAGCCTCCAGCAGCGTCGTAGTAGCGTCCACCTACCGTGTGTAGAGGTTGCCTGTTGCTTATGCTTCACATTCCACAAAGTCGGGAACGCATTCCGAGTGTAAACGTACAGCTCTCGCCTGTTGTGACGAGGACGGCGGTTGTGTGCGTGGCCCGTGTCGCGGTAGTGCACCTACATCGAGATCGAGCAGGCGGAGATCACGCTGCCCGTGGCGCTGAGCAAGCCGGCGTGGATGTGGGGCGCCGAGATGGGCGCCAACGACCGCGGGGTGTGCGTGGGCAACGAGGCCGTGTGGACCAACGAGCCCATCGACGACAAGGAGGCACTGCTGGGCATGGACTTAGTGCGGTGCGTGTGTGTGCCGCGTGCGTGTGTGCCGCGTGCGTGTGTGCCGCGTGCGGATTAGTGCATGCACACTCACAAGTGTTGCGGAGCGAGTCTTACAAAGTGCGCCTGTTGAACTTCTTTGGCACCGCACGCAGACAACCGTGCAGTGCGAATGCTGCGTGATGTTGTTGTGACTGTGTGTGCGCGTGTGACCAAACCATCCGGGATGCGCCCGATGTCGAAAGCTTAGCAGGGGTAAGTGGAACCTGGAAAACGCTCGGGTGGGCAATCACACGACAATGCGGCACGTGACTGCTGAGTAATGGCGGTGACATGGCTGTGCGGTGGCGTGACGGCACAATGGTGCGGCTACGTCATTGTGTGACGCTCGCGTGCCGGGCGGCTCCAGGCTGGCGCTGGAGCGGGGCGGCACGGCGCGCGAGGCGCTCGACGTGATCACGTCGCTGCTCGCGCGCTATGGCCAGGGCGGGAACTGCATGGAGAGCACGAGCAGCTTCACGTACCACAACAGCTTCCTCATCGCCGACCGCTCCGAGGCCTGGGTGCTGGAAACGGCCGGCGAGTACTGGGCGGCCGAGCAAGTCACAGGTGCGGCACAGAGCACCTACGATGAGCACGGTTGGCTACGTACGGTGCGAAGGAAGCTCAACTTGCATGCAGTGAGCCCGGCAATTGGCCTAACTCAGGGGTCGGAAACCAAAATTCCAATAAGTGCCATTTTTTTTTTTATTCGGTGCAAAACTCAATATTTCAAGAGCCACAATGCACGTGAATACGTACATAAAAAACATTACATGACGTCACGAAGCAGCCCGTAAAGAGCCGCATGCGGCTCCGGAGCCACATGTTTGCCGACCCCTGCCCTAACTACACACCTAAAACCTGCCTATATCCTTATCTGTATCTCTACTCTTACCCCTACTCGTGAAGCAAGTAGTTTAACTCGTTTGTTTGTTCCACGTACGGCGCGGGGCATAGAGGGCACGCGCAACATCTCCAACGGGCTGAGCATCGGCTCGCGCGTATCGCTGGAGCACCCCAAGCTGCGTTCCCACGCGCGCGATGCCGGCTGGTGGGACGGCCGCTCGAGCTTCGGCTTCGCGGGGACGTACGAGGAGGGCGGCGGCAGCGGCGGAGGCCGCTTCTCGGCCGGCAAGCGCCTGCTCGCCAAGCACGCAGGTACGGGCGGCGGTGCGGGCGTTGCTAAACCAGAGCTTTGCAACATTGCCTCCCGGGGTGCGATGTCCTGTCGGCTGCTCAACCTCTTCCCCTCTAACCCCCCCCCCCCCCCACTTTCCCCACCATCAATCGCAAGGGTCCCTGTCGGCACAGGACATGATGTCGATCCTGCGTGACAAGGAGAGCGGGATCTGTGCGCAGGGCGCCTTCCTCACGACGGGCAGCATGGTGTCCATCCTCCCGCAGAACCCCGCCCTGCCCTGCATCCACTTCCTGACCGCCACTCCCGACCCTTCCAGGTCAGTTCTGCCACACAAATAAACTAAGACGGATACATATAAAAAATAATCGTGCGTACGCATTGAATGTGTGCAGTTTTCCAGCATTAGTTTTTCAACCCCCCCCATGACGTCTTTTAATAAGCGATCATAATCTCCGTGTGCGTAGGAAGCATTGTTTGTAGGCCGCGATGAGACCACTGGGCTTGGATATTGGCTCTGCCTGGGAGGGGCACGCCTCGGCCACCAGGGCTGGGACCCCAAGGTCTTTTAACACAGGCTTGCGTCGCCAAGTGCTAGGAGGCAACCATTTGATCAATTATGACAATTTTCCAAAGGGCAAGTCCCCCATAGTCGCCCAACTTTATTTGAAAGTTGATGTTGCATCATCTACATGAGAGTTATTTCCCACACCGCCCCTCCCACCACTACAGGTGGACTTTTATCCTGCGTTGGAAAGTGTAAATACATGGTAGAGGTGTCATCCTCAGGTGAAGTCACTGCCACCATGATTAGATTAAGATGCACCATCATTCGTATTTAATATCGATGTAATAGTTTAGTGCTGTTTTGTGTAAATCTTACCGCGTATTCTTCTCTCAATCGCTTTTTAATATGTGATGCACTCCTGTGAGCCAGCCAAGCTCTGCTAACTCGGCTCAAAACACGGTGAGGTCACTTGAGATTCCATTTTAAGAAGTGTTACCCTTCGTGTGGGAGGGGAGTTCCAGGTTGCTGGAGAACACAAAGACAAAGGTCCCCCCTATAGCCTCAACAGACTTTTGGGGAAAGTGCTGTTAGCGAGCACGTACGAAGGCCGCCACCGCACACAAGGTGGTGGGTAACCAGCACCACGCTCAGCCGCCTTTGCTCCCTAGTGGCGATATTTGCACACTGCACCAGGTACTCATTTGAGGCTGAGTCGATCTGGGAGATGCCCAGAACCGGTTCAGATACTCGTCACTGGTGTTGTCCGTGAGCGGGAAACGAACTCAGGTGGCCGGGTTCGTATCGCAGCGCGCCAACTGCTACGCCACACACACACACACGTGTACAAGGGAATAACACAACGGTCCATACAGAAGCGTCTTCAAAGCCACTTGCTGCACTACCACCTCAGGGCCGCCTTGCAGCCCAGCGGTTTGACAAATAGCCGTGCGATCCACCAAACTTTGCCTTTTGAAGAGCTGGATCACAGGAGTGTGCCACCTCACCAGACCAGAGTACCCATCGAGTGGAAGAAAAAAAAACATTAAGAAAATATTTGTGGTCATATCCATAAAGACAGAGCACCGAGCTGGTTCTGTTGAAAAGTCACTCAAGTATATTTTGGAGGTAGTTCTGTGACATTCACTTCAGAAGCCCAATCTTTAAATTTTGGAGAATCAATTACTTGGGCACCTTTAAAAATAGCGACCGCCCCAAATCCTGTCTAAAGATGGGAAACCCCCTCCAAGCCCCACCCCGTCCAGCCACGTACGTGGGAAGAGAGGAAAGGCTTTTTCCCCCCCAAATATTTTCGTGTTATCCGATTATCAGAAGTTGAACATGTAACCGGAAATGAATTACATAAATAAATCGGAAAGCCCAGCTGCAGTTGCAAGAGGTCCAGTTGGATCATTCGTCTCATAACATGAGGGCGAAAGCGCAATTGAGATCAACTTGGGGGAAGATACCGCAAAGCCCCGGATTACGTTTAAAGTTCCCTTCGTGTCCGATCTCACTCGGCCTACGGGGAATTCCACTCAAGGGTATTCGATGCCTCCGGCCTACGTTCCCCCGCAGGTCGATCTTCAAGCCGTTTGTGTTCGTCGAGGGGGTCAAGCCCGTCGGCAAGGTGGTTTCGCCGGACCTGGGCGCCGACGACCCGGCGAGGGTGGTGCCGCGCTTCCGCAGCAAACCGGACCGGCGGCACGAGCTGTACCGCGCGCACCAGCAGGCGTGGGAACAAGCCGGCGACAGCGGCACGGTGAGCGGGCACGTGCTCGCTTCGGAGGGCTCTAACCGTTCACCACTCCATCCCGCAAATTGGCACAATTCGATTCGGATAACTTTTTGATATTATCCATCTGGTTTCTTCTCCTGTGTTGTTTGTTCAGTTAGCACAAACGTCGGCAACCTACGCCTCCAGAGCCGCATGCGGCCCTTTAAGGACTGCTGCTTCGTGACGTTCTTTGTTAAGGACCACTGTCTCGTATTCACCACAGTGCATTGTGGCTCTTGAACTATTTAGTTTACCGAATTCGAAAAAAAGTGGCATTTATTTCGGTTGCCGAGCCGAGTTAGCATGAAGGTAAAGTGAGGGTGTACATTTAACACGAAGGCTTTCGCGACCAATATGATTCACAATAGATTTTTTTTGGGGTCATATCATGCAAGTAAAATGCGTGTGCGAAAATTGTTGCTAAAGACGAAGTTGGTTTTGTTCTGGCAGGGTGCGCCCGTGTCATGTACACGGCACGCATAACCGCGTTGTGCAAGCACCACGTGGTGCACCCTTGTGGAGTGCACTCATTGCGTGTGCGTCGTGTGAACGGCGGCGTAGGAGCGCGGCGTGCGACTGCTGGAGACGATGATGGGGCTGGAGCGCCAGGGCATCGCCGCCATGGAGGAGGTGGTGTCTGGACGTCGTGCGTTTGTGGCGTCCGAGATGGTTGACCTCTTTTACGACTGCGTCGACACAGAAATGAAGTTCTACAAGTGAACGACGCACACGTACACGCGCGCCGCGCCACCAGGAGGCGCGCATGGCGTGCAACACGAGCGTGTCGGCATCGTGGAATTGAACTTTCATTTGAAGAAATGCCGTTGTGTCTTCAGTAGGGCATGCAACGACGTATCGATTTGATTTAAATTGATTATAATTATCACGATGTGAGCATCGAAGCTTGCATGCAAATGATTATTTCCGACTTGCATAAATGATATGCGAATGTGGTGAACAATATCATGCCGAGACAAATTAGAGAATCGTTACAGACAAAATTAGAAGAAAGAAATCCCTATACTCGCAACCCTGAATATTCAAAATTTCAAATCGCCGGGGTTGGGGTATGTGGTGGTTTGGTTGCATGCCTCGTGTTTAGGACTGTTAGTTGTTTTGCGCTCACGCTTAAACTGTTAGAAGGGTTATATATGGAATACTGAAAGAGTTGACAGTTTCAGACAGTGCAATGGTTTGGACTGTTAGTCTAATTTAATACGTTTTACCGGATTATGGATGGTGTACTAGACTGATTCAACCAGTTGAATAGTTGAGGTTGAAGCTGCATAATAGATTTACTTACATTTCTTCTCATCTCCTTGAGTAGTTCCAAAGGGCATGGCGCACTAAAGTAAGTTGAGCTATCATCGGCAGCGATTGTTACTGGCAAAGATTGTTCGCAATAATTTTGTTTTTCCAAAATATCAACAGTTTTCTTCACCGCTTCCGTTCGTGGTAAACTGGGATGGCAATGTCCATTCCGATCACAGACACAGGTCACATGATTGCCCGAGGTTGTGTGCTGTGCAGATCAATCATTGCTCATCTAAAACACGCTTTTCACACTTTTTTTTCATTGGCTAGGCAACTTCATCACCACGCCAGCACCTTGCCAAGTTGCCAACGTCTGCTCACAGTAAATGCATTGCTGGTGACATTTGCCAACCAAACGGTTGCCATAAAATTACCCTAGTTCCTCATGGCTTTAGGGCTCAAGCATATTAATGGTTGCCATTTAGTCTGAGTCGGACACACAGGTCAATAAAAAGCACTCTTACGGCGGGTAAAGCCGATCGCTGCGTGGTTTTACAAAGTTGTGCCGCGTGCTCTACGTTTCTTTGCACAAGTTGAGTTTGTGTGCCCCTCTTCGCGAGCTTCTGGGAGTTTCTGCGAGTTGCTGCTCTTCCCTTGTGCAGCTCAAGCACCTTGAATAAAGCCGCAATCGAAGATCGCTCCGACACTTCCTCGTGCGTTTCTTTTTTAGAGCGACGTACATACTCTAGACTCCATGATTACACTTTTTTCAGCACACACACACACACAAACGTTCCTGTACTAAAATCGGTACGTGCGTGGTATTTCGCCAAATAGGAAGATTGGCGAACATGGGATGATGTCGAGCCTTCAGGACTGGAGATGAAAATCTGTGGCTGTTAAAATCCTACAGCTCAACAAGAGAAGCAAATTTCACAGACGCGCGCCGCTTAAGCCCATCAATGAACAATTCCACTTTGATTAATTAGCAATGCCTCGCAATCAGAATTGTAAACCCAAGTATTTTATTTTCATGCAAAAACGCATTCATTTTAGCTCTGCCTCCCCATTTACTTATTGTACAGTAAGCACATGTATTCTATTTCATCACAAGCCGTTCCAACTATTAATTCGTGAGTGAACCTTCCTTGTTAACTATTACCTTCGCGTGAATCAGTGACCTTATGTGGACCGGTGACCTTTATGAAACTGCTGAATCCGAGCAGCCATTGGGAATAAATGTTTTTGACTATTTTTAAATGGCGCCAAATGTTCCATTTATCATCCGGCACAAGCTGGGTCTGCAAAGTTTCGGACGTGCAAGGCCCTGTTTGAGATTCCCGTTCTGATTTGGGATCGCAAGTCAATTATTTAAATGTGGCACATTGATGGGGACTTGAATGGCTGCTTGGGGTCATAGGATCAACTCGTAAATATTAAACACACCCGTAAAATGTACTCTGTTCTCACACAACTTGATGTATGTGTTACGAGAATAAGGATCGATTTTAAATAGATTTCATCAGTGCATTATTACACCTCAAGCAATCCACCGTTCCCTATGAAACTTGATTCCTATGTATTTTTTTTCATTGTGAAGGCTCACTTTTTGTATGGAGCTGGCCCGGGCTTGTTCACTGGTCTTACGCGATCGCAGTCCCGATTATCCATTCCCACTGCTCCGCCTGACGCCACCGTCAGGTGGAGCTAAAGACTCCTCTCCTAGAATCCGCAATCCACTCTGGGTGCAATAAAAGTGTCTTCCAGCCCAAGTTTTCCAGTACCCAGACAAAGCAAAACTCCCGACCCCCACCCCAGTGCAGCTAATCGGAAAGGTGGCGGGGGTATTAGCATTTGTATTCCGTTGGACAATTAAAAAAATACTGTAATTGCCGCATAAATACGAGCGTACAAACTCACGCGCGCGCACAGAACTTGGGTACTGGTAGTATAACGAAACACATTTGCATTCGAGTATTCAGGTGGTAAACACTACGTTCATTTTCACGACTTTACTTTTACTGCAACGAGAAGTTGTTTGGTGTATTTTTAGTTTTTTAAAACACAAAAAGGGTATCGTTTTAATAGGAGCGTTTAAATACTGGGAGTTTGTTTTCGCGGAAGAAAATCGAGCCGCCCTTGCACATGCTGCGGAAAGGAAAGTGGGACATCGGCGATTAAAATGCGACAAGGTTCATAACGAACACTGCACTAGCACAGCCAAGGGTGCAACATTTAATGCGTGCACGCATTTGTACCAAGTTGAGCGCATGCGGGGTGTGCAAAAGATGCCGAGGAATCGTTGCGCTCGTGCCATTGATAATGGCATCGCACATCGCGCTTGCCTGCTAAGTCCTCTTCATAATCCTCGCTTATCCGTTTTGGAGGCTAAGTTTTGTTTTACTGGAGTACGATGGGTTTCCCTGCATCGCTCGTCGATGGGAGATACGAATCATTGATCTATGATGCGCGTTGCTCCCCCAGATCAACGGCGTCGCTCACGAGCCACGAGTTGTTCACCAGCGTGAAGTCGATCATCGGTAACCAGCAATGAGCCTTGTTCAGCAGGGCGATGAGCGACGTTGACCAACCGCAGGCGTCGGTCAACCAGCGCAGCCGTCGGTCGCCAGCAATGGACGAGCATTCCCCAGGCAGCGTGCGTCATTCAACAATGACGGGCGAGCATTGTACACAATGATCTTAGTTCACCGGTCCAGTCGCTTCCCATTGGCAGATGAACGTTGTTCCCAGGCGACGAGCACTGCCAACCACTGTTCACCGGCGACGATCGTCCCATCACCAGTCTTCGACCGGTGGCGGCGCGACGCGGTAGTAAAGGGGAGCGTCGAGGAAATCGAGCGCCGCCGCGGTGCTGTAGTCGTCCTTTGCTCCGCCGCCGCCGCCGCCGCCGCCGCCGCCGTCTCCTCGTCGTCCGCCGGCCTCGGCGAGGCGCGCGATGACGCCGCCGCACAGCAGGCGCTCGGCGTAGCGCGTTGCTCCGTCGCGATCCTCGCTCAGGCCCGCCGCCACCAGCCAGCCGACGAGCTCCGAGCCCAGGCAGACACGCACGCGGCGCCGGCCACACCTGTGGTGTCGGCCAAGCCACGGCCCCCCACCGCCGGTCGGCCCAGAGCTCCGGTTCAACCCGTTTTATGGCGGTGCTCTCTCTTTATCATCATCATCATCATCGTTGCTGCTGCTATGAATGTAATCATCATTGGCGCTACCGGTATCTTTACTAGATAACAATGATCCACACACTGCTTTGTAGCTTATGTGATCCCACATCCACGCACCCTCTGCGCCTTCATGAAGCTGCCACTGGCTAGCGTGGTGAAGTATGGTCAAGTAACCCCCACGACCCGCACTGCGTACAGAGGCCCACAGCCAGCAGTCTATTTACAAAAAGGTACACACGCCAACCTCAATAACTTCAGGAATTAATATTGCGGTTGTGTACTTTGCTGCATGACTCATTACAAACCTAGAGTATGAATGTTCAAATTGCACAGTAACGGAAGAACTACTTGTGTTTTAAAAAAGAGTAAACTTTTTACTCATGAACATCTACCGCTTTTCAAATACTGTAAAACGGAAAGCCAACAACTTGCGTGTTAAGAATCGTCACATTGCTAAAACAATCCACGAATGACATTTAACAATGTCGGGCATGGAATGTCCACATCAACTCTGGCAAAGAACAAAGTTGCACCAGTCTAGCACGGAGGCTTTCGTAGCCACTCGTAATCCTAGCGCAGTCTTCTGGGTTAAACCTCGTGTTGAACATTTACGCTCGCAAGCTTTTACCGCGCGCTACTGTTGCGGGGCAGCAGTGTCGCTTTATTTCTGTTAAATGGTCTTTCTAGGTTAGGCGGCGCCTTGAGCATTTCTTCTCTCGCTTAACTTCTCTCTGCGGGAAGCTTCGGCTGCTGAAGCTTCAGCTGCCAAAGCTTCCCGCAGTCGTGCGTGGCGAAAGCTGGAGAGAAGAAATGCGAGAGAAGAAGCCTAACCCGGCAGCCCACACTTGGGAAAGTTGTACGACGTGGCTGCAAGGCAGACTGACCTCAAACCGCTCGGAGATGATGCCCTACTCTACCGTCACCCAATTCCTTACGAGACGGCTTCCTCAACAAAACGGTTCCCTCAATTCTCGATTTGGCGGTCGCCCGTGTCCGAATAAAACTACGCACTTCCGAGTCGAATGCGTCAAGATGCTCGGACGCTGGTTCTGGTCGGCGGAAGCCATCCACCCAGCTCAATAAAAAGACAGAGCGAGCGGTCCATGTGGGCCCACTCGACGCGCCTCTCTCCGCCAACTCTGCGAGCGCGTTTTGCCAAAAAACATTCGCTCGTTTAAAATGCGAATCGCTTTTCAAAAGGAACGGCTAACGGCACGCGTAGAATTATTTCAAGTTTTGATAAGCGACATTACTGTTAAACACTTCATCGCCCGGTTATTTTACGTGTATATTAATATTTATATTACCGAAATATTAAACTAAAAATTGCCAACCAAAACATCGTTAACGTAGACCGAAGTTTCGAACGCAACTAAGGCGGCACCTGCCTGCTTTGTGCAAGCGTTCCGTACAATGTCATCGAGTCTGTCGCTTCATGGCTTCGTTTTGAGGAATGTTCGCATCCGTTTACGCGCCACGTTCGGGGCAGCAGCAGCTCAAGCGAGAGAGCGTGCCAAGGCAAGGCTGGTTTTGTGTCGGCGGCACTCCAAACCAAATCTCAATAACCACACAGGGCGACATTCAAAAGTCACCCCCCATCACCCCCCGATGCCGGCGCTCCTCACGCCACTTGTCCCATGCGGTTGTCAAGATTTTAGAAATGAAACTGATAACATTTTTTTCTACCTCTCAAAACGTTAAATATGTTTTTTTTTACTTTTGTTCCCCTTCCAAACGTTAAAATCACAAAGAGCATTCGCGAATTCCGACCGCCGCAGCATCGGTGCAACAACTGGAGAGGCGCGGGCAGTAAGGAAAATGCAATGAAGAAAAACATAAGCAAAGAAACAGCACAAGAAAAGAGAAACCACCACCGCCAAGAGAAAAAAAAAAACAAAGGCAGACAAAGAGAAAAAGACAGGTAAGTTCCCGCAGACAGACCTGAAGAAATCACTCCTCGTCATCAAGGACGTTAGTCATCCGTCGTCAGGAGGTAGTTAAAGAGCAGCTCCGTCTCCCGTGTGCTGCTCCCTCTCGGTCGTCCACGCTGCCAACTCGCCTTCGCCCCTGTTGCCGTCTCGGCTTTAGCCGTTCCTCTGCTCTGCCTATGGCTCACTTTTCTCTCCTCGAACACCGTAACATTTTCTCTCATATTCTTGGTTCTTTCGGTAAAGTCACGTAGAAGGGAAACAAAAATAAAATCGCTCTCTGTGGTGCTAACGTTTAAAAAAAACGCCATTTTTTTCAAATTTTCTTGCTGTGGTTTTCACACCTGATGATGATTGCTTGTGTTGCAGTCGAAACGTCGTGATAATTTTTATAAATTATTTAATTGTTTCCCTTCTACGTCACTTTACCGAAAGAACCAAGAATATGAATCCCTGCAGTCACGAAAGCTTTAAATCAAAATTTTCTCTCATGTTTGAAAAATGTATGGGAATATATAAATACTTCCTCTGCTCTCCCAATGCCACATGATTTTCATTGCCACATGTCCACATGCTTTAATTGTCACATGACACCTCTCCCTCGCGTGCATTGTCTTGAGATGCGGCGACATTGAAACGCTGTACGGATTCAAATTTGTACTGCGGTAGTCCAGCGGAAGCATTTCGCGGGTATTATCATTTGGCCCTCGCGATGTGTTGGGTATAAATCGAGGGATACTCGGAGCTACTCAACAACATTTGTTTTAAGAAGCTCCTAAGAGTGCGGAGCGAAACGTCGGACTTCGTGCCAAGCGGCGTGTGCGTACCTGCGTTCGTGCACGATGTCACCGCAGCAGCGCTCGCGGTGGAAGTGCAGGAATTGCCGGCACGTCATGGCCACCTCTTTGTTGGGTCCTCGCAGGGGCCCTGAAGTGGGGCCACGAGGGGAAGGGCTCAGAGCCGCACTGCCCCACAGCCTCTGCAGCCTGCCCCGTCGGCATCGCACAACAACAACAACAGTTCTGTGACAACGCCTCCGCTGGACGGGCACCAGCTTTCCTCCGTTAGCTGCAAACAGTTCCAAATGGATGATTTATTTGTCTCGTAAGATGACATCAATGGCACAATTAGAACGGAGAGAAACAAAGCTAAAATGGAACAGTTCAATAAAATTTTGATTTAAAGCTTTCGTGACTCCAGTAATTCATATTCTTAGCTCTTTCGGTAAAGTCACGTTGAAGGGAAACAATAAAATAACAAAATATATATAAAACAGTAAAAATTAATAAAATATAAAACAATAAAAATTATTGTTATATATATTTTATTATTTTATTGTTTTATATTGTTTCCCTTCAACGTGACTTTACCGAACGAGCTAAGAATAAGTGAAATTAAAATAATAATTCTGCACGTAGATGATCTGCTTGTATTCTTTGCTTAAGCAGGAGATTAAGAAACCCATTAGCACTCATGAATAATTGTTGCTTCTTGTGTAAGGGCGACCTGCGTTACCGTCATGAATGATTTAAGAACATGATCTTGTTTACTCTTTGGTTGTTTCGGTAAAGTCACGTAGAAATAAGAAATAACAAAATAAAATTACATAATAGCACAATTTTATTTTATTATTTCTTATTTCTATGTGACTTTACCGAAAAAAACAAAGAGTAATTCCTGCAGTCACGAAAGCACCAAATCAAGATGATCTTGTTTCACCGTTGCTAAGAGTGCCTTCTGCGGACCATGTACAACACACCGGGGTCACAACATGAGGGAATGCTGTGGTGGGAACCGCACCTCCTTTTGAAGGGGATGATGATGAGGTGTTTGTCCAGTCCGAAGAGAACAAACGACAAGAAACCCTGAGTAGAATTCAAAACAAAAACAAAACGAATTGGCAATTCACCAGGCACTATCACCCTCACTCTGGCAATTCCATGAATTGTCATGATTCAAAGCCGCCAATTCAAGCAAAACAAATTGCCTGTTACTTGTTAAACTTGCTTGTGATCGATAGCACCTCTAGCGGCTGCAGTGATGGCACAAACCCGATTACATACAATATATACAGATGGGAAAAAAAATACATGCATTTCTTACTCCCGTCAATTGGATGCGTGCATCGCGAGCGTGAGAGTCGATGCTAATGAATCTATGCGGCTTTTCTCCCCGACCACATTCCTCCCCAAAGCTTGGGCATACTTCAAAGTAATTTGCCGCAACCAGACGACAACATGAACAATTTGAGTGCGGGTAAAGGCGAGGCCTCGTTTTACGTTTCGCATTTTTTCCGAATCACTGGGGGTGAGCGTCTGCTTGTGGTTTGCCGACAAATTTAGGCGACAAAGTCTTTTTGGACCCTCCTGAAGGAAGGGCATTCCCCACCCGATATATAGAACGTCGGCGATAACGAGGACGACGGGGACATTAAACGGGTGGACTCGCGGCGCCTCACCTGGCCAAAGTTGCAGACGGCGCAGGTGAATTTAAACTCGAGGTAGGGGCCGCCGATCGTCGAGCTTAGAAGCCACCACAGTCCCGTGCACATGCTCTACGCACGCGAGACCGGGACGGGGGGGGGGGGAGAGAGAGGCAGCAGGCGGTGGCGGCGTCAGTACCGGTGGCCAGCAGTCGGAACTCAACCGAGAAGAAGGCTGCCAAGGGGGCGGATCAAGATAGGTCCGGGTAGAGCAAGAGTCACGTACGACAAGTTCGCTAAACTAACCGATGCGTTTATTGTAGGGAGACAACTGTAAAACACGTCAGAGTGTGTATATCTAGTACTGAAGGCAAACTAGAATGTGATAATGGCATGTCCATCATTTATCCAGGATAGCCTCAACTAGTTTCGAAGCTAATTTTGCAAGAGTCCTGCTACATCGGAATACTCCGATGTAGTGGGGGGGGAAGGGGGGGAATTAGACTCAAAAGGTCCGCACAGATGGGTTTGCAAAATGAACTTGCTCTACGCCATGGTTGCATAGATGCAGAAGAGGTGGGAAGCTAATTTTGCAAGAGTCCTGCTACAACGGAATACTCCGATGTAGTGGGGGGGGAAGGGGGGGAATTAGACTCAAAAGGTCCGCGCAGATGGGTTCGCAAAATGAACTTGCTCTACGCCATGGTTGCATAGATGCAGAAGAGGTGGGGCAGTTTGTCCTGGGTCTCAGATCCCAGGGAGCTTCAGAGGAGGCCTCATCTGGAATTTGCCCCGGGCCTCCAAAAAACTTTTGACCATCCAGCGTCCTGCCATTTTCTAGCCGAGCGGCTTTGAATGTGATCCACCGACCCTTGCCTCCAAGGCACAGGATCAAAGGCGTATGATATTACCACCACGACTATTGCTTGGCTCTCTGAACGATACCCACAGCTGGGATTTAAACACCACCCAGGGCACGAGATTGGGAGTGGGAGGTAGCCGTCCCCACCAGGAACATGGCGATGAGGAGGAGGAGGCAGAGGAGGACGTGACGGCCAGCCTGGGGGTCTTCGCGCTCCAGGACCCTGGCCCGCTCCTCGTCGGCCAGCGCACAGTCGCCCGGCCCGCAAGGGCCCAGGCAGCGCGCCACTGCACGGAGAGGTCCCGTGAGAAACAAGGGGCGAGGGCGGTTAGCGAGTGCCTGTCATGGGCAGCGCATGTGTCGCGTTGCAAAGAGAAGCGGTGCATCTGGCACGATGCATGCCCGTCTGTCCACCTCCCTGCTGCCAATGTTGGTCACGAAATCGCTTGACAGCACACCCGTGGCGCGCGTGCAACTGCCCGCGTTCGTATGTATGCAAGTGTGTATGCGGGGGCGTGCCGAGTGTCATCTCGGTCACGTAAACCCATAACGCGACGCATCACGCGGCCTCGAAGTGCACCTCGCCTGGCACGAGCACCACTTAGCGGCCGGCAGTGATTTGTTGTTTTTGCATCGGCATATACGAGTGAGCTTGCGTGCGTGCGAACGAGTAGTGAAGAACGGTGCCGCGTGGCACCGTGGTCCCCCGCATTCCGGAGACGCGGGACGTTTACCGGCGGCGGGGTCGGCGGGGTCGCCGGCGGCCGCCACGACCGGGAGGGACCGCGTGCTCGCGCAGCATTCCGACCCCGAGCACGGGCACTCACCCTCGCACGGCGCTGAAGGGGGCAGAGGGGCAGCGGGTAGCGGGGGGCAGAGGACAGGTCCACGCAACATTAAGTTCCGCCACTTTTAGCTCCACGTTTGATTGTTGTCGGCCATAAGAATCGCCATGCTGGTAAGTGCAGGTTGGTGAAAGGGGAAGCCCACGACCAGTTCGGATATCGCCCCAACACTGATGCTGGGCGTGGCCGGGAATCAACTGAGGTTACCGGGGCTTCATATCGCAGTCCGGCGAGGGGGACCTTCGTCTTTGCGTGTGCGCGTATATGCGTGCCTACCGTGCGTCTCCAAGGTGCCGTTGGGGGCCGGCTCAGGAGGCGGAGAGGGGGCGTCATCCGGCACCCGCGTGCTCTCTGGCCCCTCTTTGCTCAGGGCCTCGTACGGACGCTGGGCGCCGCTACGCCGCCCGAGAACGATGAGCGAGGTGGCTCCGAGCAGAATGCTCACAGCCAACATCACCACCGTCATCACCACCTGCTCCCCCACCCCCCCCCACAACCACCACCGTGCAAGTACAACAATTAGGGCTTGCAGGGCATTGTGGGAGGAACCCACTAAGACAATGAAGTAAAATCAGTTAGACAGCCAGCGCCACGTTATCGACAGCGTTGCAGGTTTACAATCTCTCAATTGAAAACTCATTTTTTTAGAACTGCTTTTTGCATTCTTGGTTCTTTCGGTAAAGTCACGTAGAAGGAAAATAATAAAATAATAAAAATAAAACAATAAAATTCTCACGACGTTTCGATTGCAACACAAGCAATCATCATCAGGTGTGGTTTTACCGAAATAACTGAACCCAAAGAACCAAGAATATGAATCCCTGCAGTCACGAAAGCTTTCCCTGCACCTTCGATTAGCATGGTTGGCTACGTGTGATGCGAAAGAAGTTCGACATACATTAACGAGAGGACCCTGAATTCATGTTGCTTACAGAGACGGGGGAGCCACTGCAAATACTTCAGTGGCGTAGTCACGTGATAACGAAACTGGCTGCTGAGGTTTACACCAACAGTCAATAGACACCACCATACACAACAGCTGCTCACCACGGAAAATACACGTGGCATTCTACGCAGAGCTCACGTGTAACACAAACACGACATGCACCACACACACACACATGTGACATGCACCACACACACAGTGACATGCACCATACATGCACATAAGCCAACGCATCTCCACTCATTCATTAAAAAGGGTCCGATGAACTTATGCCATCCTCAAAATTAACCGCGCTACTACAACCGAGCCTCGGCACGACCCGTGCGGTTACGGCCGACAGACCTGACTGCGTCCCCAGAAGAACGCCGGGTCGATCTCGTACTTGCGCATGTCTCCACTCAACGCCACCAGAATCCCCACGGCAAATGCCGGCAGGCTGGAAGAGAGATACAAAAATATACATACGTACAAATTTACATAGGGTACGTCACATATCTGACCGTCCCATATCCACCCAAGCGAATCATCCGCCTACACCGAGTGCAGTATTTGTGTACGGTGGTGTCACTGTTATTTTCTATAGATGTTCACATATCCGGGCCTCATCACATATCCACCTATACCTCAGTACTGTACCATCTAAATGTGACCGCATATCAAGACGCTGCACATAAACAGCAGCGGGTTTAGTTATTTTGCAGAGAGAGGCGGTTGGTCACGTACACAAGAGATCTCTAGTCTGGACTTGAACAGGGACAGGGAGTCGGCAGTGCAGACCGCTGGGGGGGGAAGCAACTTCCAGACCCGGGGGCAGCCGAGGAGACCGCCCCGACTGCTAATCCTTCGGCTTCCGGCATGCATACGCATCGTTTTTCCCGAACTTGTTGAAGCGTCAGTGTCGATGGGAGGGGGGGGGGCGGTTAATTGGGGAATCAAGCGGGAGAGTGGCTCACCCCCAGGCCACCACTGTCATCATGCCCTTGAAGGAGCGAGTCCTCTTCTCCCCGGCCACCTGCAGCACCAGCAGCGAGAACGCCGTCATGCCTGCCGCAGCAGCAGCAGCAGCAGCAGCGCACGACGCGTGTCACACGCGCGGTAGCCCACACGGAGACAAAGATCCCCCGTAGAGCCAAAACAATCTGTCGGGACAAGTGTTATTACGAAGGCCGATACGACGCACAAGGAGACGGTGTGGCCAGGACCGTGATCGCCTGCCCTCGTCTCCCCAGTGCTTCCGCTTCTTTCATGTGGCATTCAAAAAAAGCAACCGGCTACAACTGTATTTTTTTTTGTTTAGAAATTCTATGGCACCCGGGTAGATGAGTGAGGTGCAATTCATCAGGCGTATATCACCCATGACTGCCCAATACACGTATATATTCAGGAGGAACAAGCTGACTATCCAGTCCGGATGTTTACACATCATACCAGGTACCTATTTAAGGCCGAGTCGATTTAGGGAAAGCCCAGGAATAGTTCAAATATTAGGCAATAATTGTGGCCCTGAACGGGAATCAAACTGGAGGTCACAGGTTTGTTGCTCAGTGTGCTAACCAATACGTTACTGCTCTCCAATAGATACCAAGTTTCGGATGACCCGAATGTTGTTGTTGTTGTTTCAGACTGTATAACATCACAAGAAGTAACTTCACTCACGTGGTATTGCTTCCACGCTTTTCCCGTCATGACATCACTTTCGCTTAAATGATTATAAATAGCTAAAAATTGTTACAATGAATGCAGTTTAATCGATGGAACTGTGTAAAAAATGTTTTTTATTCATTAGCACAATAAAAATTGGTTACATTAAGTTGCATGAACAACGGAAGTGATTATAATTTTCTTTTAAAAAATCCAAACTTGGGTCTTAAAGTCCAAAAACCAGAAATCCAAAGCTCATCGCTGTTAGCAAGCAGCTAGTAAGGCCGGCACGGCGGCACCCACCGGTCCAGAGGTACGAGCTGCACATGGGGGCGTAGAGCAGAATGAAGGCGAGCACCCGGGCCAGCGTTCCGGCGCCCGTGCCCAGCACGTGCCAGAACACCATACCCACACACGTCAGCAGCTGCACGATAGGTACGGCACACATGGCGCGCGAGCACAGACACACGCACGCAGTCAAACGCACAGCACGAACACGTGGCAAGCACACGCACAGCACGCACACGTGGCAAGCGCACGCCCGCGGTCACACGCACAGCAGGCACACGTGGAGATGCATAGCACGCGCACGGGGACAGGGGAGGACGCGATTAATAAAGTGACACCGGAAATACAATTAACAGGACGCCGAAAATATGCAAGGAAAATTAAGAAATGCCCGACACGATGGAAAGGCAATGAAAACCAAAACGGCTAAAACATCGAGATATAACGTACGTGGGTAAAAACGTTCGCAACGGGGACACATTTCAGCCGGGTCTGTCTGGGTCCGCGATCCGGAAAATACGTCCGCACATGGCACAATGCACACAGTATTCCTCTCACTGTGGCCGTGGCTACTACCAGTCACATGCCACCTACTACAGCCAATGAGTGACCCAGAAAATATTCGGTGAGAAACGAAGTGCCGGTTTTCAGCGTCTCACCTGGGCGGCGAACAGATTGATGGAGAAGAAGTGCGGCAGCTGACGATAGCGGCGACTCAGCACCGCTAGACCCAGCACCCAGACCTGGGACAAAACAAACAGACAAGCAGCACCACACGGGGACATCAAACAGCGAGGGTGTGGATGATGAGAGGTCATGAGCAATGCGTCTACAAAGCCAAGATCCTGGGTTTGAATCCGGAAAACCGCCACCAGCGCTCTTGGAGACAAGGGTTGGAGGATCACGAAGAATTGTGAAACTCCCAAAGCCGCTGAAGAGCTGCAAGGTGGCTGAAGACGGCAGTGCAGCGAGTGGTGAAGCTGTTATTTTGGAGCTTCGCGCGCGAATAATTTTCAAAGTGGATTTGCTCCGAATGCTTTGGTTTCCGCCCCCCCCCCAAATGCAACAAACTCCTCTAGTGTGTCCTCTAAGTATATTTGTGCAGAATCATCCAGAAAAATACATCTTGAGAAGCAACAAGGTTTTCCTGGAACTATAAATGACATATGTGACATCATCATCAACAAACCAGGTTATTAATTGCACCCATTTGATGGCCTTAGATCAGTTACCAATTACTATACGAAAAAAAACGCAACATTACGTTAGCATTTCCACTTAATTTGTCAAATACCATTGCAGCTGGGCCACCAAAAGGCTTTTAGAGGCCAGGGGCAAAACTTCCAGATGAGGCCCCCCTCTGAGCCCCCACTCTGAGCCCCCCTCTGAGCCCCCCCTGAGCCCCCCCTCTGAGCCCCCCCTCTGAGCCCCCCCTCTGAGCCCCCCCTCTGAGCCCCCCCTCTGAGCCCCCCCTCTGAGCCCCCCCTCTGAGCCCCCCCCTCTGAGCCCCCCCTCTAAGCCCCCCCCTCTAAGCCCCCCCTCTAAGCCCCCCTCTGAGCCCCCCCCTGAGCCCCCCCTCTGAGCCCCCCCTCTGAGCCCCCCCTCTAAGCCCCCCTCTGAGCCCCCCCTCTGAGCCCCCCCTCTGAGCCCCCCCTCTGAGCCCCCCCTCTAAGCCCCCCCCTGAGCCCCCCCTCTGAGCTCCCATGGGATTTGAGTTCTGCCTGAAATGGCCCCACCTGCGCCACCCCCATCTCTCTGGCGCTGCACCAGAGGACCAAAAAAGACGGGAAGCAAGGACAGGGCAACGCGGCTTGTGGTTTAACGGACGAGAACGATTTAACGGGAGAGGGACCGGCGTCACGATCGAAGCTCACCAGGAAGATGAGGCCGACGATGCCGATGTCGAAGCTCACGCTGTCCAGGACGGCTCGCGTCACGTGATCGTCGAGCCTGGGCATGGCGAGCAGCCACGACGAGACGTACATGAGCGGCGCCGACAGGAACGTGCACACCACCATGCCCGTGGACAGCTGCCCCGTACGCGCACACGGCAACGCACACGGGCAGGGAGAGAGAGAGAGGTATGGAGGTAGGGAGGGGACGGAGGGAGGGAGACAATCCCGTTATCGTTTGTGAATGCACAAGTCCGGTGTGGATCAGTGCAGTGATGTTGCAGGGCACATGGAGGTGATTCACTGAATAACACAAATGCCGTTCTGTCAGTGGCCCTGCCCATCGCAGATGCTGACCACAATAACGTTGTGTAACGTACACGCGTGTGAGCATCTGTCTGTATGCGGTTTCAGGAAAGGGCGGTCCTGCACAGATGCCATATTTTCTGTCCGTTTGCTACAGCAGAGGTGTAGGGAATTCCAACAAGACCTACATCTCTGCTTTATTGACCTGGTCAAGGCCTAAGATACCATCAGTAGGCCTGGGCTCTGGGTTGTTCTTCGTGCTTTTGGAGTACCTGACCCTCTGCTCACGATCATTAAGGACCTACATGATGGTGAGCGGGCCCGGGTAAAACTACGTGGCCGGGAGTCAGAGCCATTCCCTGTACACCTTGGGGTGTGACAGGGATGTCCTCTGGCTCCCACATTATTTAACATCTATTTTGACCACGTAGTTCGTGATGCCTTCAATAGCTGTACCGGGGGAATCTCCATATGGTACAGATATAATGGGAGGCTGATCGATGCCCGGGTGCGGTCAAGGGATGTCTCCCTATTGCTCAACCACGTAATGTATGCTGATGATTTGGTAATAGCTGCTCATTTAGAGGAGGAGTTGGAGACGCTGCTGCTGAGGCTGGAGCATGCCACTAAGAGGTGGGGCCTTACCATCAGCCCCACCAAAACTAAGCACCTGCCTGGGTATTTTGTACCATCGGACACTCCACCCCCACAACTCCCAATCGGTGATGGGGCAGTTGTGGAGAGAGTGGAGAAAAAAATTAAACAAAAATCACGACGTTTCGGCCACAACACAAGCGGCCTTCATTGTGTTGTGGCCGAAACGTCGTGATTTTTGTTGTTTTAATTTTTTACCTACGTGACTTTACCGAATAGAACCAAAGAGTATGGATCCTTGCAGTCACGAAAGCTTCAAATCTAGAAAAGAGAGTGGAGAGTTTCCCATACCTGGGCAGTGTGCTTCTGACCGTCTCCAGTTTAACAGCATAGGTCTCACTCCGAATTTGTCGAGCGGCAATATCTTTTCATCGGTTGCGTAACGCTGTGTGGAAGCTACCTGGTCTGTCGCTCGGCCACGGTCATTCCCTCCCTTCTCTACGCTTGCGAAACGTGGACCCCCCTAATGGAACATCTTCGCCGGTTAGAAACATTTAGACTGGCCTGCCTACGATCCATCCTGGGTTTAACCAGACTGGATTGTGTGAGGAGCTCAAAAATCCTTGAAAGATCTGGGCAAGGTCCCATCGGTGAGCTCCTCCGGCGGGCAAGGCTGCGATGGCTGGGTCATGTAGCCCGCATGCCCAGCCACCGCATGCCGAAACAGCTTTTGTTCGGCTGGATTGAGGGGGCTAAACGGGCGCGGCATGGGCTAGAGAAGAGATGGAGTGAATGGTACAGGAGGACGAGGAGCTGAGTGGACTTGCCAATGACTGGTACCAGCGGTGTCAAGATCGGCCTCTGTGGAGGAGGCTCGTGAAGGACGCTACTGGGCAGTTGGAGGTAGTCGCCCTCCAACAACAACGGAGGGCGGAGGAGCGACGCTCACAACAACGAGCGGAGCGCCGGGTGGCTGAAGCACAGCGGGTTGGCACAGTAGGGGGCACAGGTGGTGCATCAGCCAGTCATCTCAGTCAATCGACCCGTGGCACCTGGGTCTGCCCCGTGACCTCCTGCCAGCGGGCGTTCGACACTTCACGTGGCCTCAGGGTGCACATAGCCTGGCACAAGCGTCGTGGTGACGTCACCGTCACTTAGTGGCGAATGGCGGTTGTTGTTGTTGTATGTGTGGAGCAGTGATGTAGCGCTCCGCTATGAACTTGGCCACCTTAACTTGATTCCGGGCCACGGCTAACATCAGTGGCGAGTTATATCTGAACTAGCCCTAGACCACTCCTCCCCAACCGGGATTGACCAGTGTGAAGTACGGTCAAACAACGCCCATGATGAAAACATGTGGGCGCACGCACACGAACACACCAACACAGACAAGACACACATCTGTGACATAGCCGTAAGACAATGTTGTGGTAAGTGCTGTTAGCGAGCACCTATGAAAGCTGGCATGGCATACGAGGGGGTGGGTGGCCAGCACCACATCGAGCTGCCTGTCTCTCTAGTGGCGATGTTTACAACAACACCAGGTACTCATTTGAGGCTGAGTCGACCTAGCGCAGGCCCAGGACCGGTTCAGATAATTCTCACTGGTCTTGGCCGTAAGCGGGGAACTGAACTCGGATTGCCGGGTTCGTAACGCAATGCTCCAACCTTAACACCACCGCTCCCCACCTATGGACACACACAGACACATACCGGCCGCACAAACAAACAAAAACTGACACCCACAGACAACACACAGAGAGGACGAGAGTCCTGCAGGGCCTCGCGCACCGTCTCGATCTCCATAGCGTAGCGGCTTGCGTAGATGATGACGCTGGGCGCCGTGGGGAAGACGCCGTAGAGGAAGCCAAAGTCGCGCAGGCTCGTGTGGTTCTTCTCTCCCCTCGTCTCCAACAGCTCCACCATCTCACGGCACAGCAGCGGGAACACCAGCCTGCGGGCACGTACGCACGGGTACGTGCGTAGGGTAGCACCCAGGGACAAGTTGATCTTCAAGGGGAATCGAACGGTGTTAATCGGTCTGAATTGAACTTCACACCCGAGAAGTCAGACAGATGGAAAGACGCGCGGACACACAGAACGGCAGACTGGTATTCAGGCAGACTGAAATACAGACAGACCACAAGCCAGACAAATGGACAGGCAGGCAGGCTGACTGACATACAGAAGATAGCTGGACAGCTAAACGCCCAAACAGACGAGTAAAACGTCAGACGGAGAAAAGGACACCGGACGCACAGCAACCGACGCAACCGTCAGCAGACATCGTAAGCTGGAGGGTCAGGGTGTGTCCCGCCCCGTGTCCGCAGTCCCCGGCGTACACTTTGGCGGTGATGAGCAGGATGATGGACACGACGGTGCCGCGCGTGTGGCTCTGCATCTTCCCCACCATGGAGAGGCCCAGGTAGAACTGCGCCGACGCCCCGAAAGCGGCGCCCAGGCTGTCCAGGAACCGCGACACCAGCTCGGGAACCTTGCGCGCCAGCAGGAAGTTACCTGCGCCACCACCAAAACGCCACTCGTAGAACAAGCGCACCTTTCGTAGAGCTCGTACAATTTCACATTCACGTGGTCACGCCAGACAACCGCGTCAGCAGCAGCGGAGCGTACCGGCGTGAAGTCCCCTTCGTATTTGTGGATCGGGCACTGCGTCGTCATACGCTGTGAAAGCGGAACGACGTTCCCCTTCTTTACTCGCTCCGAATCCTCGCCCTTCTCAAACCCCGACCAATAGTTTGTAGTTCTTAAGCAAGCCTTGCACAAGTCGTGCCCTGCGACCGTCGTTTATTATTATTATTATACGCTCCAGTTTACACGAAGTTATCGGTCGTCTTGAAAAAAACCACGTCGTTTCGAGGCCGCTCACCGGCCAGGCCGACGAGGGAGGAAAGCACCACGGGGTTGACGAGGGCGCCCAGGACGGCGCCGGCGCAAGTTCGGAGCGAGGATAGAGCGCGGGAGCAGCCCGAGAGCGCTCGCGGCGGCGCCGTCATCGTTGTCGCCCCCACCTCAACCTCCACCTCCACCTCCTCCTCCTCCCCGGGCCCCTCCACCTCCACGTTGCGCCTGCGCTGCAGCTCGCAGAAGACGAAGCCCACGGGGTTGAGCAGCACCAGCGAGATGGGCGCCACCAGGTAGATGTACTGCACATACTCCGGGTTGGTGGCCTGGTACAGGGCTTGCACTGCGACACCAAGCGGCCGGCAAAAACGACAAATCGGACAGTACACGCAGTGACCGACTTAGTCGTATCGACAATGGTGCTGAAGTTATAATTGATAACTGTTACTTATAGTTTCGTCCTCCACGTGTTTTTCTATCGATCGGTGTCCTGATCTTGTGCGATGCCATTTTTACATTTGCTTCATGGGCATTTTATAATCGCTGGGTGGCAGTGGTACCGGAGAGCGCCATCTATTGGAGGCCCTTCCACCAGCAGTTACGTGAGCAAGCAACTGCAGGGCTACACTTTTTAAATTTGTTACGGCGAGGGGAGCGGCCTCTCCGTAGACCTACGACAACAAACGACAACAAACGACAGGCAGCAACGACGGACATCGGCCGCCTCACCGATGGGGTACCCAAGCGCAAAGTCGTTGCTCTGCGTCGCAAAGATGGGGAAGAGGCCGGCCTTGGCGAAGCGCGAGGCCGGCGCGGCCGTGAGGAGCGTGACGACGCACACGAGCACGAACACGGCCACCTTGGTGGCCAGCACGGCCAGCAGGAAGCCCCAGCTCACCACCGCAAAGTCCAGCACCACCATGTTGCGAAAGAGAAGCGCGGGAAGCGCGAACGACGACACGAACCCGCCGAGGCCCCGCGCGCCGGACGGCGGCACCAGGCCCGAGCGCCCGGCGGCGTAGCCGCATAGCACCGTGCCGAAGCACTCGAGCAGTGCCGGGAAGAGGCGGTCCACCGCCACGTTGGGCGGCACGCCGTCCGGGTACCCCTCGGAGCCGCCGTAATCGTCCGTGGCGTTGGGATCGGTTGGGAATGGCCACTGCGGCGTCGGCGACGACGGCGGAGCGTGCAGGAGCGTCGCCGTGAAGTTTTGCGGCAGCGCCATGAGGTGGGTGGCGTCGGTGTTGTTTGTGGTGGTGGGGAGACTTTGTTTGCGCGGTAGCGATGGAGGCGCGGCTGTTTTCCACCCACGCGACCGGGGTTTCAAACAGCAGCTCTTCCTTTTTCCTGAGGCAGTGAAGGTCACGTTTTTACATCAAACAGGATGAGGTTTCTAATTTCCATTCCATTGATGATGGAAATCATGAACTTAACAGGCTCGACTTTGCACGACAACTTGGCTATGAGTGCAGACACCACCACCATTCACGTGACCTCTTCACAATGTCAAACACGTGTTGTGCTAAACTGTTTGCAAAATAGATTTTGTTAACCGAACTCATCAGGCATGTGACAGATCCTAAAGACAATGTCTTACATGCACGTGCATACAAAGACAAAGGTGCCCCGTGCAGCCTAAAGCATGTGTTGCAACAAGTGTCGTTAGCGAACACCTACTGAAGCCAGCAGAGAGCATAAGGTGGTAATACGGCCAACACCATGACCGTGTCTCCAGTGCTGGTGTTCTCACACGCCACACCAGTTACTCAGTTTATTGGGGAGTCACAATCTCGTTTCAAGTTGATGAGTTAAATCAGTTGAAAACCCGACCAGGGTAGTCCCATATGCAAGAGTTACCTGGGGCATTAGTCTGCAAGAAGGGGGCGATGATCGCTATGTATGGTCTCAATTTTGTAACTTTCGAATTTGCCAAATTTGAACCCTTTGACGCCAGCACGCAATGGCCTCTTTTCTGATGAACAACGTCAGGTCTTTAGCGTCCACTGCGACGCGGTGGACTCGGACGACTGGAAGATGAACCATCCGTGCGACACCAATTAGGGATGTGTTGCTAATTTTCGGTTTAATCTGGAAAATGAAAATAATCGGACCTAGATACAAAGTTTCTGAAAAAAAGAACACGTTTATTCCCAATTGATCTGAAAGTAGCACGTGGCAGGGAGTGGCATCACTTGCTTTAGAGATTCTTATCCATGAAAAGTGGAACTGAGGTCACTTTTGTAAGCAGGAAAGCACGAGAAATTATTGCAAAATGTAAACTATCCAAAAGATACAAAAATCTAAAATGTTTCACGGATATGCACAAATTCATCCACCAGGCAAAGAGGCTCTATCTGTCTTCTTTGGTTCTTTCAGTAAAGTCACGTAGAATGAGAATAAATTAATAAATTAATAAAATAACACAATAAAATTCTCACGGCTCTATCTGGCAAACACTATATCAATAAGGCTCTGGCGTATGAAACACGGCAGGAATAACGTTCTAATTGGATGGCAATGAAGCGTCAGTGGTGAACGCGGTATGGAGGAACGGCCTTTGCCCCGTTACGCCCGCTCACGGCAAATTTCCAAACCCATGGGCTCGCCAATCCACCTGTCAGCTGACAGTCGGGTGCAGAGCCAGCTGCCCTCTGTATTTTGGGACAATGCCTTTAAATAACCATGTTCACATTTTTTATATATAATTATATACACGCACAAAAGACAAAGATCCCCCGTATAGCCTTAACAGATGGTAGGAGCAAGTGCTGTTAGTGAGCACCTATGAAGGCCGGCACAGCACACGAGGGGGTGGGTGGACAGCACCACGCCCGGCCGCCTTTGTCTCCCTAGTGGTGATATTTACACACCATGCCAGGTACTCAATTGTGGCCGAGTCGACCTCGGGGAGGTCCAGGACCGGTTCAGATAATCGTCAACGGTGTTGGTCGTGAGCGGGAATCGAACTCGGCACGCCGGGTTCGTAGTGCAGCGCGATAACCGCCACACTACTGCTCCCCACTATACACACACACACATATTGTGTCCTCATGCCACAATTGGCAAAAGGGCCTCCACTCGAGGGGGGGCTCTAGACCCTACCTCTAGGGGATACTTGGCCTACTCTTCCACACCGTTCAGGCATCATGCAGTCGTGGCAACTTCTGAACGCCCTACAGCTGCGCAAAGCAGTCTGGGTAATTCCACGATGGCATTGAACAGTGGGCGACGCATGCTTTGTGTAATGAGGTTTCTGGTGAAGGAAAATTTTCCAAGATTTGAAACCAAAGGGAGGATATGCGCCTGAAATGCAGAACTGTGTTTGAGTGCTCACAAATCGTTTAAAAAGTTTAAGACTGAAAGCAGAGAAAGACAAATGGCTTTGTACCCGTCCTAAAGAATTATGGACTTCGGGCATCAATATGTTACAACACCAATGGGACAACACTTGGAAAAACGTGTCAAGATTAATATTACTTTCACATTTGCAACTAGAAGAGGGGGTTAACTATGAACGACTCTCATACAACTTCACATTAGAACGCCTAGTGACTTTCACCATCAGGTGGAACTAAACGTCAGATTTGATTAAAAAAATAATTAAACCTTCTAGTTTCAGCCACATCAAAACGGAATGTTCAAGCCTATTCTGCTGGACAAGTTCCCGCTTGCGAGCAGACAAATCGTTTCGCCCGCGTTTACAAAACAGAAAGCGCCGCTGAAAAACAATCACACGGTCCACGCTTCATGACAGGGGTTAAGCTGGTCAGAGCAAGGCACTGCTGGTTATAAACGTGACCATTCAGGAATAACAACAATAATAATAATAATTACAAATTCGGTCACTCCACTCTGACCCTGGCCAGACAACGTTGCCTGACAAAGCCCTCGTTTGTTGGGCAACGCGCAAACCCCAAATGGTAGCCAGCAGCAGCAGCACCTTTGCCACCGCGCCCCGGCTTCAATTTCACCGACACATTCGCTCGTGTCTCCAGGAACCCGGGACAACGTCTACGCAGCCGAAACACAACATGCTCCCCGCCTGGCTGCTGGTCGGGACAACGCGTGCTTTACTGTTTTGCATTACGTGGAGAGTACAACATAAAGTAAAAGTCGGTAACGACCAGGGGGTTTTGTTGCACATTTTTTAATGGATTTTTTTATTGAAAGCCATCATTGGTAGCAGGTCACCACCCCCCCCCCGCACCATTCCCCCCAGCAAGTCAGACCTAGTGCCACAACTAAATCCCCCCCAAAATGCACACAAAATTGGGATACAGTATGCAGAATCTAAGCAGGGTTGAGAATGGATACTGCTTGGATGGGCGACCATCATAATAGGGGTGCTGTAGGGAGCCGCAGGGCTATGCTGTGGGCAGCAGTGGGCAGGACAGGAAAATATCTCGTACTGTACTTCACTCCTACATCTACACTACCTGCCTTTACCAACACGCACTGAGCGGAGTGGTGAAATACAGCCAGAGCCCCCATGACCTGCACAATGTGGGGGGAGATCCTCATCCATCCGCCAAAAGGGCTATTCACGGACAAGTCAGAGCTGGACATCATCAGCTGTTTTTTTTATTCGAAATTAACAGTGGTAGGACTTGTAGTTAAAGGGGCCCAATCAGTGAAGAGATATGATATTCATAAATCAGGAGACAGATGAACAGCTCCTGGGCCAAATGTAAATATAAAAAAATAACCAAACAGTGCGACTGCGGTCACCAACCTCAAAGAGTGGAGGGCATGGTAACGCCACTGCCTGCTTTCATCATTCGCTGGCAGCATTTCACATTCATTAGGCTCACTCCTGAGGCCGTCCACTGCCTCACGCGCCAACCTCAACATGAAGGGAGGAACGCCGAGGGTTTAATTCTCAGCCATACTAAAGAAGCAGATTAACAAGTGGCTGGGTGACTCAGAGGGTGTAATACTGTGCCAGAGCACTGAGCCGATACTGCTGAGATGCTGGGTTCAACTCGGTTAAGCTACGCCTGATTAACCCAGGTTCTCAAGTGTGGCCAATACATTGTCTCAGCTGGACACAAATGGCTGCCCAAAAAAATAAAACCATCGTTTTGTTTTGACTTAATTTGGTTTACTCCAGCTTTCAGAATTAAACATTTCAGTCTAACAGGAAACACTCTTTGCAGGTTATGTAATTATATAAAAGGTGTGACTCTACAGTGGATAAAGACGCAAATTAAAGTTGTTACATCGCCTTCATGGGGTGTTCTTTGATGCTGCTCACCGAGTTACAAATGGAAATGTATTCAGTTCATTATATGGCTGACGATAGTGCGATTGGAATGTTATTGACAAACAAATGTTAAAAAAGACACTCGCATATCTATTGAATGCGTATATTTCATCATACGCAGCCATGATCTATGCACTGCTGGATGATGGTCTCCCCAAGCCGTTACCATCATCTCTCATGGGCCGTGATTGAACACGGACCATGAGAGTCGTGCTCTAGGGAATGTTGCCTCCTTTGGCTTCCACTCTGTCATTATACTCGACCACAGGTCATCATCAATACTTGTGACGTGTTCCGGCCCAAGCTCAGTCACTTTCTTTACAAATGCAGCAACAACAAAAACTCGACCAACATTAGCGCGGCACATTTCTCTCTGCATGACAAACTTCTGTGAGTTCTAACCTCACCTGGACACAACCTGAACTAAACATAGCTGTGGTAGTGAGGTCGCTCTTGGCCCTGGCTACTCTTGAACATGACAATAACCGGATATCTCTGGTTCTCAGCTTGTTTTAACAAATAAACGTGAGGCCTAGCTTCGGCGCTAGAATTAACTGGCGCAAATCCAGGCGAGGAGGCATTACACCAGTTTCTGGCTGGCTTGCAACACCAGATTAAAAAAAATCTGCCTAATCAACTAAAACCAGGCCGTCACTGTAGCCCTGAAGTAATGCACAAGAGCACTCGATTATTTTTAACCCAAGTGCTCTGCCTAACACAACGCATTTGCATCTCCCATACTCCCAGCAGTGAACACACAGCAATTACTGGATTCCTTTACGGTCATCTGCAAGTACACCAGGCATGCAAAAATGTACACTTAAATGTATGCGGTTATTGGACGCTTTGTTTTACCTTCCGTGTGCTAGTGTGCCATAATATTACTGTATTTTACGATCTTCTTTTTAAACCACTGTTGCTGAGCACAGACCCAAATGTCTAAAACGACCAGCAACCAATAACACGAATTACAGTTGTAATCGACATGAATTAATAGGATTCTTGAATTTCACTAGGTGATAAGAACCTGGGATGAGAGACGATGCTATCGAATTTAAATCGTATCGTGTGGCGTGAAGCGATGTCAACGGTGGTTTGGCACACTGCCCTATTAACCGTGCCACCCAAGTTCGACTCCCAGGCCAGGGCGGAAATCGTTCTGAGCTTCCCAAATTCCTGGGCATCCCAAACGCACCAAGCTGCACCGAACCGCGTGGTGAAATATGTCAAACAAACCCCACGACCGGCGTTGGGGGGGGGGGGGGGGGCAGGCCTTCATCCAGCAGTGGATTTACAGTTGTCTTGATTGTAATTAAATCCGCGTGCGTGCGTGTGTATCTAAACCTCGTGCGTGGCGACAATTCCGCAATGCGGTCCACACTCACCCACTCTCATTGCACACAGCCGTGTGCGAACACCTCACTCGCTGCTGTGCATGCAGAACACGTGTACACACTGCTCGCGCGATGTACATATTGACACACACACACAGAGAGCTGTTGTGTGCTTAATATGTAACGCTACGTGTTTAAACCCTTCTGTCTCAATCCAACTGTTGGGTGAAGGCCTCGTGGGGGTTATTTGGACATCATTCCTCAAGTCGGTAGCTGCGGGTTGGTGGATTTGACCCCATCGGACTCATCCAGAGTGGCTTTGGTCGTCAGGAAATTATTGAATGGACTGAGCAGGCTCGACTTCATGCTTAGCTTTCGAGAGCTCCAGAGGCATTCCGGGTGATATTTTGCAGAGGCTAATGTGTATATCATTTACGGTAATTGTATTCTCTGGTCTATCATTTCTGCAATTGAATAACGGTCATGTATACTCTTGTTTTATTTTGAGAGTAATTTACGTTTCAATTTACCAGGTCTCCTTTAAAAAAAAACAACTATTTCGTATCTGTGACCTCTCACCTGCTATTAAATAAAATATTTAACTCTATGACTGTAGAGTCCATATCGAGAGAGCACCGTGCAGATTGGGAGCGGTGGTGCAGTGGTTAGCGCACTGCGCTATGAACCCGGCCACCAGAGTTCGATTCCAGGCGATGGCTAACATCAGTGGCGAGTCATATCTGAACCAAAACCTGGTCTTTTCTTCATCAATCTGCATTGGCCAGTGTGGTGAAGTATGGTCAGAAACCCCCATGACCAGGACGGCGTGGGGAGGCAATCATCCAGGAGTGGTTTGACAAGAGATTCACGTTGTTTTTCTTATGTTACTCATACGAAAATGCGAAACACACATCCCATACCACTCGAGTCTAGAGTATGTATAGAGGCGTTGTGGTGGTGTATATATAATAGTAAAATCAATAATATAACATATAACCGCATCCCCTTGTGAATCCACACCTTCCCATGCTGTTGATCATGGTGGGGGGGGGGGGGGTTGACCATACTTCACCACGATGGTCAGTGCGGATTGCTGAAAGCAGGAACAGAACCGCAGCGGTTCTTATATCACTCGCCGGGAATGAATAATAAAACTCGGGACGCCCGCCGCTGTTGGTAGCGCAGTGCCGCTAACCACTGCGCCACCGCTCCCCACGAGAGGAATCCTCTCGTCGGGACACTCTGGCCGCCCGGCAACACACGCTGCCGGGCGGCCAGAGTGTCGGCAGCCGTGGAGCACGGGCAGCCGTGGAGCACGGCACGCGTGGAGCGCGGCACCAGCGGTGTGCGAGCTGCCGACGTCGAGCGAGTCGAGCGGCAGCGCCGACACCGCGACTCGAGCTAGGCCGCCTTTCACCAACCACCCGCGCGATCCGCCTCGCAGACACCGACGGCTGCTGTTGTTTGCCGAGTCGACTTGAAGACGGTCACGCACGCGCACGCACGCACGCGCACTGCCCCGTCAAGCAACATCATCATACCTCCTGATGAGTGCTCGGCATGCCGCTTGCCTGCTGCTGCTGCTGGGCGCGACGCCTCAACTCCGCCGCGCGTCAAAACTCCGCCTCGTTGGGCACAAATAGAGGAGGAGGAGGCGGTGGAGGCGGCCTCGCCAAAGCGACGCCTTCGCTGTGCGCGAGGCCGCGCGCGTCCCTTTTCAAAATTGTCGCCAAATTAATTCGATGCGGATTTCGTTCACGGTTCGCCGACGACGCGAAGGGGAAGCGCCGGCTCCGTTCGGCGGGGGCACTTCGCTCTCGATGGGGGGGGGGGCAGGGGAGCTGTGGGAAGGCGGCGACACCACCACCACGTGGGGTCGTCCGTCGCAGCACCCCCTCGTGCTCCCCCCACCGCCGCCGCCCCGCCCCGCCGCCTTACACAACACGTTGTCACAATTAGGGTAATCACCGCTAACGACGATTAACGCGATTCATTTGCGTTAACGACGATTGAAGTTGGGCTTACCGATGGCGTGGTCCGCGCGCTTGTCCACGGCCAGGATGCTATCGGCCTCCGACTGGGCGTTGCGTCACGTTTGGGCTTGAGGTTGCGAGCACGCACCCTCCGTGTGTATACGTCCATATGGCAATACAGGGTAATTAGTCGTTACAATTCTCAGGCCTTTGACCAACCAAACTGTGTTCTGATAATACACGCATTGTCTTTGAAACGGATTGTCACGACTCGAGGACACCAACACGCGAACTATACAAAGGCAATGCAGGTTTCAAAGTACTGATAGCTCTGGTTGAGCGGTTAGTGTCTTCCCCTCGAATGCGCGGGGTTTCTCCAGATGCACCGGTTGTCTCTTACATGAAAGCATCTTAAACACATCAAGGACCCTAGCGTTTGGCCAATTGTTGGCACTGGCTCATCGTGTGGCCTACCCACCTCTGATTATTATTCGGCACATTGTACAGCGCGATGTGTTACCAGTGACGGTAGCATTTGCACGTGGTTTGTCTGTGTGCACATAAAAGCAAAACTTCAACCCAAATAAACAGTTTGTTTTATCTGTTTTATCTTGTAGATAACCACCTGGACTTTGTGTCCCTGGCTTTGCCACATCGGCTTTAATGTCAGTTAATAAGAACACTATTTTCTCAAGTTGCAGTTAAGCGCGTGATTTTAGCACTGCATTGACATCAATAAACGTCTTGACGATATCGCAAGACATCCCTCCTATTATCTCATGCCATATGCCAACAACTTAAATGTTCACGTTATCTCGCTCTATATCACTCCATGTCAATCTTACATCCCTATCACCACACGATTGTATACCTCTAGTTTGCCTGCATCTTTTCAATAAATATTTTTTTTTATATACACAGCACCCTCCTATATACCAGGGCGTCTCAGGATGCTTTCCATCTAATTTCAACACATTTGAAAGGGCACTCCCAGTTGCAGCTGTCACTGTGGACACAAGGTGACCTCGTCTGCAAACATAACATGAGTCCACTAGTGGAGGGTGATGTTTGATGTGTATGATCCCAATTGAATAATTCATTCAGCTCTATCTTGCCTGCATCTCTCTTTTCTGCTTTCAGATCTCTCCGTGTCGTCTCCATCGCTCTCATCTTGTGACATGTGGGGGGGGGGGGGGGCTCCATGCAGTAAATATAATCTAGAAAATACTGCCCCTGTGTGTAGACCTGAGTTAGGGCTATGTTAAGTGAGAGTGCAATAAAAGTTACAGGCTATGTTTAGACTTTGGAGCCGTTAATAATAAACACGCAATGTCGTCTAACACGCCTGAATCTGCTGATGAGGCTCCAACAGTTGAAACCGGTCCAGGAATTGCAAAAAACAAATGCTGCTGGAAAACTTTCATTCAGAAGGGCATTTGGCTTACGGGAACATGTGATGATGATTGGTGGTCGAGACGAACGATGGAGTAGCAGCCAAAGGAAGGAACTTGCCCAGAGGCAGAGCAATGAGATCGGTGCAGTAGATTGTCGCATCGCAAGACTTTCGGGGGTGGCGATTGCATGGAGAGAAAACATACAGCAGTGGAAAGACAATTTCTGATAATGAAGAAACTCAATTCCCTTCTCTATTACGGCCGAACATCCTAATAAATGAGACGTCACATATCTCATTTGTCCAGGGTACCTTTTAAAAAAAATTAACGTATTCAGTATGTACTATGAAAAACTAAAATTGTGAAATTGTGCTTTGTGTCAAACAGTTATAAGATGTTGGACTCAGTATGGCAGCTGGGCGTTTTACACATGGTCTGAAGTAAGTGACACAACATAAATAATTCCTCATAACAAGCTTGGTGTAAGTCGTAGCCAAGGCTAAATAAAGCTCACTAGCAAACATTTTGGCACACTATACAACTGAACCCAGTGACCTGAGTTCAATGCCCAGCTGAAATCACTGTTGAGTGATATCTGGACCCAGTTCAGGGCTCCCTCCCTTCACCATGCCACGCTGACCAGCGTGAAGTATGGTCAGGTCAAACAAGCCTCATGCCCAACATGGTGTGAAGAGACCTTCATTCAACAGGCGATTGATAATGGACTGTCAGTAGGTTTAGCTTACCAGCACAAAACAAGAAGACACAAGCAGTAGGATGCACAAGCAAACATTTATGCCAACAATACAGACACGATTCATGAAGAATTATAAACGGCATCAGAGAGCGTGAAGTGGTTAGGAAAATATAATACTTACACATTTTTATTGCAATTTGGTTTCTCTTTACTTAACAGGTGAGCCTTCTTCAGAGGCTACTCAAGAAAATTGACCAGCATAACTCGCGTGTGTGTGTGCTCTTAGGATAGTGTAGCGGTTAGCGCGCCGCGCTACTCACCCGGCGACTCGAGTTCTATTCCCGCTCACGGCCAACACCAGTGTGGCGATTATCCGAACCGGTCCTGGGCCTCCCTTAGGTCTACTCAGCCTCAAATGAGTACCTGGTGTGGTGTGTAAACATCGCTACTGGGGAGACAAAGGCGGCCGTGCGTGGTGTTGGTCACCCACCCCCTCGTGTGCCGTGCCGGCCTTCATAGGTGCTCGCTAACAGCACTTGCCCCAACAGTCTGTTCAGGCTATACGGGGAATCTTTGTCTTTGCTCTTAAGATATTACATGTGTACATCTGTACGAGTGTGTATGGGGAGCGGTAACGTAGTGGTTGGCGCTAAGACTTTCATAGCACGCGTGCAATGAAAGTCAGCAAAATGAAACTCCCCGAAATAACAATGACAAAATACTGTGCAGAATTAATTTCATTGCGTGAAATCGTCGTCACTGCTATTCGTTTATATACAACAGCAAGTCTCGTATTCAATGATTTTTTTTTTCTTCCAAGGACAAGCCCTGCATTGTCTTCAGCAAAGAACAGCAATCCCACGCTATTTTTCAAAGTTATGGGAGGCTCACTTATCAAACAGGCTTGCCCAGCTTGCTTCTTGCACCTCGCCATGTGCAAATCCCCACTGTCTTTGAGCTGGGCATTGCGTGGCATGAAGTATGTCCACCAAAAGCTGAGGATGCGCTGTCGGGCAGGCACCAAGATTTCACATCACCACTTTCCCTTTGAGGCTCGGAAGTGATCATCAATCAGTGACGGACGCCGATTTTGAGCCACAGCACTTCTCTCCGAACCAAGAGGGTGTGCACCAAGGAGATGGAGCGATGAAATCGGTTCACGTGCAGGCGCCTGGTGGATCGTTCCATTGCGAGTTCGTGAGAGGTGATGGGGGCTAGGAGGGGCCTTCGTCCAGGAGTGGATTGATCGGTTTTGATGAATGGGGGTGACTTCTCTTGTTTACTTCGATCCGACACTTTTCCCGACACACGACCCAGAACTAGAGAATGTCTTCTCACGAAATCCTAACAATGTCCACCCCCCCCCCCCTCTCCGTGGGCACGTTTGCTGGATCCAAGAGGTGAACACGGCGGTGCGTACGTACAGGAATACAATCAATCATAAATGCTTCATTGGTAGCAATAGCTGTAACGTCCAAGGCAGGCAATATTTACAGGGTGATTATCGTAATACCAGGACCCGGACATGCTTTCTAGACATTTTGCGTGAATGTCTGGACAGCGAATGAGCTGATGCGGGGTGAAAACATAAACCACTCATCACCAGACCGTTTTAAAGTGTCTGGCAACAACCACATACATTGACCAGTGGTTTCTGCTGAAGTTTGGCAACATCGTAAAAAAAAACTGAAGCAAATCAGATAAAAAGATGATCCGATTGATCTTCTCTGACAATTTGGCTAATCTTTGTTGGTGAAATGTTCAAAAATTTTTTTTTTTAAATACTTTGTTTCAAGATTTGTCAACAATTCTGCTTATACTGTGGCACAAATAAAACAACAACAAAAATCTTAAACATTTGAAACTTTGACCACTTAGGTTGATCTCGCTTGACGCAGTGCAACATGAAGGCAAGCGCATTAGGATACACCGGGAAAAACCACAATGTGTCTATCCTCGTAAATCAACAATACAAATACTATTTAGAGCGCCAAAACTTACAAAAAAACCCAAAGTGGGATATGATCAGGAAGTGAACATTCCTGTCTGAATCAGAACAAGATTCCACTGGCCCAGACCAATTCATGCAGAAACCAGGACTTAAAATTCTCCTCGATAACAAGAGGTGAGAAAGCTCACACAATTGAGAGAAAAAAGCAGAAACAGACGTGTTCACTTCTCTGTAATTTTTTTTCATTTTCACAGTTGCTCATTACACTGCCTCATACCCACGGAGGAAGACGTTTTTCAGTAGGTAAAGAGAAAAGGAACGAAAATAAATAGTCAGCTCACGACTGGCAACATAAATTAAACAGCGGTTTCGCTGAAATGTTGGCGAGTGAAAAACAAACAAACATGCGGATCGTGCACGTCGTAGCAAGGTTGTAAAACAAAAAGCTTTAAAAACGAAGTCGCCGTTCAGAAGTAATCTCTCCGGCGAGTGTCGTCATGGACATAGGACGGATTGTGCTGCCCTCCGTACATGTACTGGCCCGGGGGCAGCACGGAGTAGGGCTGCCCCGACTCGCCCATCTTCACCGAGCTCTGGTACGCCGGCTGCAGGCAGGGAGGGGGAGGGTGGGGGGGGGGGGGTCACGGGCAGTACAGCAAGGAGGTTGTAACAGCGCCACCCACAGAGGGCGGCAGCATTCAGCGAAGCTGCAGGGCAGCTGTGGAGGGCGCAGGATGCCACCTGCCCTTCCACCTCCGCCACTCATTTGCTTAATTCGTAACTAGCAATTGCACAAGATTGTCCTCGTGCGTGTATGTATTTTGAACTTCTTTCGCAGCGTACGTAGCCAACCGCGCTAATCTTAGGTGGGGGACAACCGACTGTGGTAAAACTGAATCGGCGTAGACGTACAGCCAGGGCCTCATTACTCACTGGATCATTGCTGCGTCGATTGTCGACGAGAGTAGGCACATGACTGGTAGCCACAGGCATGACGCGAGGTGTATTGGGTGTGATGTATCAGCTGCCTAATATATTTTTCATCTTGGCAACCTGGACAGACCAGGCTGAAATTAAGCCCTGTGTAGAGAAATCCCTTGCTAGATTTTGACCTCCCCATGCCGTGTTGGTCGTGGAGGTTATTTGACCATACTTCACCACACTGGTCAGTAGCGTGTTAGTGAAGGCGTAGAGCGTAAATGTCAGCGAACAGTGCAGCACAACATTATAGTTTTCTCTTTGGTTCTTTCGGTAAAGTCACATTGAAAGAAAATAACTTAAGTAATAAAGCACGACGTTGCGATTGCAACACAAGCAATCGTCATCAGGTAGAAGTAAATTTGAGAGAGAGACAAAACACAGACACGGAGACACACAGACAGACACACAAGCAGAGCGAGAGACAACACAGACACACACAGAGAGAGAGAGAGAGTCTCTGTGTTTTGTCTCTCTCTCAATTTAGTTCTACCCGATGACGGTTGCTTGTGTTGCAATCGAAACGTCGTACTCTATTATTTATTTTATTTTCTTTCTACGTGACTTTACCGAAAGAACCAAAGAGTAATTCCTGCAGTCACGAAAGCTTCAAATCAAATTTGTATTTTTTTGCAATGCCCTCCGCTTACAACGTAGACCGGCAGTAGCTCTCGAGCACCCCCGTTTTATGGACGGTGGTCACGCGTCAAAGCACCGTCCATGCTGGCTCAACCTTGCTTAGCTTCTGAGGTCTGATGAGATCGGCTGCATTTCTGTTGATTTGGTCACAAGCAGCTACCGTGGCTCGACGTTAAAAATAAATACAATTAAGTGGGGTGGAGTTCCGCCTCGTGTTTAACAGCCCTGTGTCAGAGGTTGAATTTCCACATTTCTTTAAGTGGGCGTGAATCTCTCCATAGGGCATCCACTGTTGACTTTTGACCCACGGCAAGACCAGTGAGCACATGCCGCTCATATCCGGCCGATAACATCAGTCAGGTAGCTCAAAGGTGATGTCATCTCTCAGTCACATGACTCCACGTTCCTACCGAAGCAACGTGTTATATAGAAGTTCAGCCAAAGGGTTGTTTTAAACATGTATTTATTATTTACGATTCTACTTTTACAAAGCATAGACGAAAGTTAAAGTGTTGAAGAACATCTGCCCTACATCAGAATATTTCATAGATAATTTTACTCAACTGCGGTGTTCCTGCAGGGGTCACCACACATTTAAAGCTTTTTTTGAATTCGAGATCCACTTCTAAATGTCTGTTAGGTCCCCTGGAGAATCTCTCTCTCGTATCGCACTAGAAGACCAAAAATGATGACTGCGTGTTTGGTTCTTTGAATTTATACGACGGTACCAAGCGTTGCTGGACGCGTAGCATCCGTACCTCCTGTGCAAGCGTGTGATGATGGGCAGTGGTCGGTTTACGTGATGAACAGATCGCACTACTGCAGGTGCAGGTATCGCACGCGTGCGGTGGAGGTGAGACCTAATTATATTGCGCGATCTTATCGGATGCGGAAAGGGAAGGTGCATGTGTTGATGCACGGTTGCCCGCCAAAAGCATTTGAAAGTCCTACTCGGGCAAGGAAAGGTTCCCCACCCCCATGTGTGTACACGTGTGCACATGCGTGTGCATGCACATATACACGTACACGTGTGTGCGCGTGCATGTGGTATAATATAGTGGTTAGCGCGCCGCGCTGCTCACCCGGCGACCCGAGTTCGATTCCCGCTCACGGCCAACCACCGGTGATGATTATCTGAACCGGTCCTGGGCCTCCCCTAGGTCGACTCAGCCTCAAATGAGTACCTGGTGCTGTGTGTAAACATCGCCACTCGGGAGACAAAGGCGGCCGGGCGCGGTGTGCCCCCCTCCCCCCCATCCCTCGTGTGCCACAGTGCCGGCCCTTCATAGATAGGGTGCTACTCGCGAACAGCACCAGTGTGTCAAGGCTCTACCGGGGGCGTCTTTGCGTGCGCCGTACCGCGATGTAGCTCTCATCGGGGTGCAGCAGGTTGCGCGTGCTGCCGCTGTCCTGCATCTCGTACGTCTCGCGCCCCCACGCCGTCTGGGCGCGGGGGATCCGGGGCAGCTCCGCGTAGGGGGACAGCTGGAAGCCCTCGTCCTTGTAGCGAGCTCGCTGGGCCTCCAGGCGGCGCTTTCTGCGCGGGGAAAGAAAACAAAAACGGACGCAACGGCAGCGCCGGAGAACGCGAATGGTTATGTGAACACCGAATGGTTACGTGAACACCGAATGGTTACGTGAACACCGAATGGTTACGTGAACACCGAATGGTTACGTGAACACCGAATGGTTATGTGAACACCGAATGGTCATGTGGTGGTTATTTTTTTTTTTATTTTTCGTTCTCGACGTTATTCGTCTCGATGTTATTTTGAGTTTGTTGGCTCCGTACGGCGCAAAAGAAGAAGCTCAACACCCACACACAGGAGAGACAAACACCTGTAGCAGGTGATGGAGAGAGCGATGGCGAGGTTGACGAGGAGCCCCCCGCCCATTGCCGCCAGGATCACAGCGACGAGGAGGTAACCTGCAGGGGGGGGCAGCGCAACCACACGGGCGCTCAGCCACTAGTGCAGCACAACAACAACAACAACACCACCGATTTAGACGGCAGCGTTAGCTGACGCACGCGCCTGTCACACACGTAGTTATTTGGAGCTGGCGGTGTGTGCGTTGGGACGAGAGTTTTTGCTCTTGCGCTGCGGATCTTCGCGTGCTGTTAAATCTGTGTGCGCCCAATTGGCACAAATATATCTGTGCATGCCTGTTGACATTCCGTTGCCGGATAAGAGCCTCCCAATGCTGAGTCGATCAAAGGGGTTATTGTCCACACTTCACCACGCCGGTCGCTGTGGGGTGCAGGTGGGCAAGCCGGACTGATAATGGGGTAGAGAAGCTCGTGACAACAATGTGAGTGGGCTGCACTGCCCTCTGCTGCCCACAACACAGCCCCGCAGAGGCATGCAAACTACTTGAGCCGTTTGTATTTTACACCTCTTTTCTGCACGGTCGCCACCCATCCATACGAGCACCGTCCAGGGTCAAAGCCTGCTTAGCTAACATCCGAGATCGGACGAGATCGGGTGAAGCCTGAGTGATTTGGCAAGGAGATGATTTGATAAAAAAAACCCCAAACCCAACGCGTCTGTGTGAGAGGCGGCAGGGAGGAGGCAAGCGTTGTGGGCGAGACTCACGCTCCTCACACTGGTGGCCGTAGTAACCAAACGGGCACCTGTGGGAGAGGCACGCAGGTAGGGCACTCATTGGCGGAGTAGGTGAACCACATTCACAACAACAACATCCTAAAAAAAAACATTTCCCCACATTTCATCCCGATTGCGCTATCGGCGTTACGTCGTGAGATGAAGAGTCAATTTTTTTTTATTTCGCTGAGTGTCACAATTTCGTATTAGAGAATCCAATTTTTTTTAAAAAAAATGATCCTTAAGGAATCCGATAAGCTATGAAACTATTTTTAAACAGATGTCCACAGTAGGGGCGGGTCATGAAGTTACAACAAACAAGAAAATCGCTAAAATTCAATAAATCAAATTGATAAAGTATATAAGTTCAAATTGTATAAGTACACCAATTCCCAAGCTTGGGAAAGGTGGCAAAAGAACAGCAAAAACAGTCCCAGACCACACCAAGACAACACACAGCCCCTCAATAAATGTGTATATTAAAACTATCGATACATGGGTAAGGATGAAAGTTAGAAATCTCATTGGCAAATGCAATTCTATCCAGCACTAATATTCTGCTTCAGGATAGAGAATGGTGCAAGGAAGCGGATATCACAGAGCTACATCTGAGATCTTGTCAAGTGGCCTCTACTGCACACACAACAGGGGGTGGCACTTTCCCTGCAAGTCAGCATATGAGGGTAATGCCCATCGCATGCCAGTCAAATTGATATTTCTAATTCTCATCGCTGGAATTTTTAGCCAGGTTAAGTAGGGTGGCTGAAACCCAATTTTGAGCCATAAACTCCAGCAGTTTCTTGCCCAGTGCTCAGATCTCCGAGCCACCCGCGTCTCAAATGAATTAGTAACTTTAAATAATAATACAAATTTAACCCAGCCGAGTTTGAATGAAACTTACTTGACACATGCGTTGTTATGTAGCTTGTAGCCGTTTTCACAAGCTGTGAAAACAGGGACGGGTTCATTGCTCTTTGGCAGATTTCTGTGCGATTCAAAGACGTTCCCTCCTCCAGAAATTATTATTCACAGTCATGTTTAAATTATCATCATTAAAGCATCGTTAATTATCATCAAATCTCCCGTACGTGATCGTACTACCGAGAATGAACGAGGCCTCCAATGAACGCCTACAATCGATAATTTTATGTAGGACCTGCTAACAGTGCTGCTGCTTACTGCTGTTGATCATGATGGCGATGATTTAATTGAGGTTATGCTGATCACGATACTGATAGTGATGATTTAATGGTTAAGAAGACATTTCTTGTGTTCATAAACATTCATCACAACGTGTAAACTCCTTATCGTCAGGGCCAATACTGATGAATGGATGATGGCGAGGAGGATGATGATGACATGATAATAATGATGAAGAGGAAGAATAATTATTTAATTTAGTTGATTTAAAATGGATTAGTTAACGATAACGACGGTGACAATAATTGAATAACGATGATATCCGAATATGAATAATTGTATTATCATGACTATGCTGACGATCATCATTTACTAACGTCTGTTATTTGATGATTTTTTTTTACGAATGATGAATGATGATTGGCCAATGATGACTTTATAACTATTCGACGACGATAATTTTTTTGTCTTCCATGAATACTTAACGGCGATGCCGACAGCGGCTCGCGCGTGCTGCTCACCTCTGCACACGTGGTCCATGGCGCTGTGCTTGAAGAAGCCGGCACGGCACACGCACGACACGTCTCCGTCAACATGCACGCAGCGCGAGCTCCTCTCGTCGCACACCGCCAGGCTGCACACGTCACCCTCTGGCGACACCGCGGACAACACGGTGGCTCGGAGATGTTAACTACCTCGCCTGGTACGCAGGAGGTCGTGGGTTCGATCCCGACCCTGACGCCCGCCGTGTATTTGGAGTTTGCGTGTTCTGCGCGTGGTCGTGTGGATTTTTCTCCGGGTCCTCAGGTTTTTTTCCTCCACATTTAGAATCAACGTCACGCGTTTAGAGTATGTGGCTGCTATGCATTTCCACATAAGCCACTTCATTGAGCTATCATTTGTGGCCAGATTGCTTCTGAAAAAGAGCTATATAGCTCAGTGGGCTTTACCTGATGCATTGAAAACAGTTCAGTTCATAGTTTTAATTTTAAGTCACAGGGGGTCTGGGTTCAAATCCAAGCTCTCAGCCACCTGTGCATAAGCACAGATGGTTCTGGAAGCGCAGAGATTTGGCGATTTTTGTTGTTGTCATATCACCAATCGCTGCGTAAAACAAACATGCGAACAAGCGTGTTGCTGACAATGTCGCCACGCAGGAGCCTGCCACACAATAATTTATGCATGATGGCCGCCCATTCAAGCACGCTTCAGGCTCAATCCTGCTTGGCTTCGAGGTCGTACAAGATCGGGTGCATTCTGGGTGATTTTGACCCGGGGCGAATAGAATCGGGATATAAAAAGTCCTTTACTCAGGGGTGCCTCGGTGATCCTCAACTCCCTTGTGGGGAGGAACCCTTGCGGAGATATTTGTCCGATTCCTCCTCGGGTGTGTTTTTTGTGCGAGTTAAATGCGATCGGAGCAACGCAGACATGAAACGCGGGAGCACAAATCAAAAGCCACGTGGCACAAATCCGAACGGACGGGGCGCCGTTGGCGCGCTCACCGCTGTAGGAGAAATTGGTGCCACGCGCGAACTCGCAGGCGCTCGTGTTGGTGCAGCTTCCGGTGTAGTTGTGGATGGCGTCGTTCACGCTCCGGTTCGTGGCCGCCGACGACGAAGCGAAGAGGTGCAGCACAGAGACGACGACGCTCCCGTTCCTGACACCGGCGGCGGACACGCGCACGCGTCGGTCCGGTCAGCCAACCGAGTTCGTACAAGTGTGGTCTTCCGCTGATCTTCCCTCAAACTTTGGCCACGTACCACTACGAGCACGGCTTCGTTTCAGCCGGAGCCGTCTGAGGCTGATTTCCAGAAAATATTCCCTACCCACCTTTTTTTTTGTTTATAATCCCCCATTTGAATGTTGTGTTTACATTTTGAATAATGCCCTTGATGTTTATACAATTGACCTTTGCTTGCTTTACATTGTTTTATGATAAACTCACGTCTCACACAAAATAACTTGCTTTCTCATCTTGCTGTTACATAATTTAAAATACAATGGTGGTGGTAGTGATCATGGCAATGATGATGATGATTACTACTATCACTACTCCATGTAAAAAAAAACATAACCACATTTTACCTCTAAACTATTGGAAAGAGTTTTCTGTTTGCCCAACCAACCCCCTGTTTGGCTAAACAAAAGGGGTGAAGGAAGAGAAGGGCGGATGTGATGCAGGAGAGCTCTGTAGATAATTTTTGACCCATAACATGTGGGTCTGTTCCACGACCTCTGGCCAGAGAACCTTAAAGGTTGCACACCGCCACTTGGTGGCGAATGGCGACGTTGTTGTTGTGCGTGTGTCCCAATCGTTCTCAAGGCTATGTAAATAATTTCATTCACTACACTACCGCGTGCTGATAAATCTCAACGCGTTATTGGAATTTAACCGCAAACAGAGTGATTGTTCATACGTTGATATTATTCTGTAAGTGTTTAATTTCGTAGCCACCCAGCTGCCCGTGAACTCACGTGACACTGAGCACAGTGGTGCCTTGGTAGGACAGGTTCTTGCCCTTGAACGTCTCGTTCATCTGCGACAATGAGACGAGAGCACGGGTCACTGGGGTGGAGTCGCACAGAAAACAATCGCAGGGCGGCAGCAATGGAATCACGCACTGGCCGCAGAAAGTCAAACGCATTTACTTTGCCGACGGAAAGGAACTTCCAGACGTAATGTGCCCCGGTAGTGTTGTATGTAGAAGGTAAACCGTGGACTGGTTTCAACTTTAACGAGGCTCGTCAGCAGTGTGTGGCTACTTAAACCAATGCTATTAGATGGATTGATATTTTGGGGGGGGAGAGTCATTTATCAAGAATGTTTGGTCCAAAAATTTGCAATATACAGTAATTTGGGCAATGGTGGTGCATCGGTTTGATTCCGGGCGACGGCTAACATCAGTGGCGAGTGATATACGAATCGTTACTGTACTTGTCTTCACCAACCCGCACTGACCAGCGTGGTGAAGTATGGTCAAACGACTGCTGTGAGGTCGACAAAGGGCTTTCAATCCATTATGTTAATTATTGCATACGTGAATGCTACCCATAAGTTTATGAAGCCAACAAGACAGAATATACGAGACAGACAACACAAGTGAGATAAGCGGCACGTTATGAATCAACTGGTGACCACTTTTGTGATGCTCTGCATTCCCAAGGACTCGCTAACATTATTACGATGATGTCATGTTGTCGTTAGGTCGTCCGTGATTATAGTTTGCGTGTCTCTCTCCTCGTGGTGGGTGAGCTATCATTTGTGGCCAGGTCACTTCTGAATTTTTTTTTAGCTCAGTGGGCTTTACCTGTTAAAATAAAAAGGATTTTTTTGTGATTTGCTTAACCTTCCTATACTTTCCACTCCTATATTGTTTTTGGATCGTTTGTTGTTGTAAATTTCTGACTCGCCCCCACAGGACATCTGCGAAAAAGAGCTTTATAGCTCATCGGATTCCTCCGGTATAAATAAAGACTGTGATTTGGTTAAAGTTTGGGGGTGAGTGTTGTGTGCCCCTCTCTGACCACTCTCGTGATGTTGTCCTGCAGTTCCACGAACACGCTGGAAGCGGGGTCTCCCATCTCAGCCGTGAACACGGAATTCTTCAAAGTGATGTTTCCTAGGAACGTTTTGGCTGTGAAAATCACAAGGGAGATGGTGGCACAAGGAAGTGAAATCTATATTTGTGAGTTCCGCAAACTTCCCGATGAGGCTACAACTCTCTTATTTAAGGGAGGCCTGGGTCACAAAAGCAAATAAACTTAACAAAAAAAAGGACAATAATTGCAACAACAACAACAACAAAACAAACACTAACAACACGCCATTGATTAAACGGAATATCAATTGAGCATTTTTGTGGAATTTGTGTTTGTAACACGGGGAAACCTTGTCATTGTCCTGACATCATTCTTCCCTACTCCAGTCCAGACTCAGCTGTTGTACATGATCATCATCAGCACACACAGTGGTGCAGTGTGGTTAGCATGGGCCCTGGTGAAGGAATTAAATCGGGGCCTCCTCCCCTGTCCAATTCCCCACCCTCTGCCGTCATAGCTCGACGCCTGGGCCCCTCTATCCGATGGGGCCCAGTGCAGTTGCACCGCCTGCATGCTGCTCGACAGCTACTGAGCAATCAGACAACAGCCCGTCACTCGCACAGTCCGTCCCCGGGTTTCACTCCCGAAGTGGTTGGTCTCTTGAGTGAAGGCCTGCCGCTCGTCCTGTACTCCAGCCCCACACACAACAACCAAACCAACCAACCAACGCGTGACGCACTCAAGACGCGTGGGGGTGCAGCGGCGAGGCCAGGGAGGTAGGCAGCAGTACCTGCGAGGCAGCCGCGCGGGTAGTCCTGGTAGAAGCCGACGGGGCACTCGCACACGAAGCCGCCTCGCCGGTTCCGGCAGGCGCTGAACGGGGGGCACGGGTTTGTCCCGTCGCCGATGCATTCGTCCACGTCTGCGCGAGCGAGCAGGGCGGCAGATTAGCCGCGGAGCAAAACTCGCCCACAGTCATCAGCCACGATCTATCCACTGCTGGATTAAGGTGTCCCCAAGCTGATCCGCCATCTCTCAGGGCCCTGCTGCGACGCAACATTTCTCCTTGCTCGTGCACACGAGTTGGTTCCACAGCTCCGTCGGTCTCGCACGGTCCCTCCCTTGTCCGCTCATCCGTCGTTATTCTCGACCCCAATGATTCACCCACCTTGTAGAAGTTTTGTTAATGCACGACATTCAGTTTATTAATGCATCAGCTGCAGTAAAACAAGAGCAGGTAGAATAGTTATTTGGGTGGATAAGGTGGTAAAACTTCAGGGTGTGTAAGTTAAGAATTTTTGGACATAGGCCCAGGTTGATTGACTTCTCCACAAATCTGGCTGTTGCCTGATGAAGCTAGTTGTAATTACTGGTGAAACGTCGTACTCAGATTGTTAATGTTGTGGCTTCACGCTCCAATACACCGGCGTGCTGTACTAGTGACGAATTGGCATGTTCTGTTTACGTGACAACCCTTACCAGTTGGCTGTGTCGGGTGGTGGCAGGTTTTAACGACACGTATATATACACGCGATCTAACCCAAAAAAACCTCTATTATGGATGAAACACAACAAACAATCTTTGCAGAGAATATAGACGCTATATTCTACATCTGAAGCGGAAGTGACTTCAGATGCAGTGCTTTGACATCATATTTTGTGGCCCTTCACCGACACAGGGAGATTAACTGCTCGCTGCGAGAATTCCAAACGGGATTGTATTTATCTTGTGGTAGGACTCCAACAGCATGATAATGGAATACACATGCACGGAACTTTTTCAATCCACTGCTGGATTAGGACATCACCACGCCATGCAGGTCATTGGCACCGCGGTGGCGAGATGTTAACTACCTCGCCTGGTTTCCCAGGCCGTTGTGGGTCCATCCCCGACCCTGACGCCTGTACATGTGGAGTGTGCGTGTCTCTCTCCCCGTGGTCGCATGGATTTTTCTTCAGGTCCTCCGTTTTTTCCCTCCACATTTAGAATCAACGTCACGCGTTTAGAGTATTTGGCTGCTAAAAATTTCCACATGATAAGCCACTACGTTGAGTTAACATTTGTGGCAAGGTCGCTTCTGAAAAAGAGCTATATAGCTCAGGGAGCCTTATCTGGTAAAATAAAATAATATTAAATAGTAAAAATTATTCGAATTAACTGTAACTGAGAAAAATAGTAACCACATTTTCTTTTCAAATTAACAATTGTCCCTCCAATAGTTCACTAACCGTCAGTGCAGTTGAGTCCCTGCCACCCGGGAGGGCATTTGCAGGTGAAGAGAGCTGAGGAATTCCCCGGGGTAGAGGAATTCCCCTCCTCGCCCTGCGGCTCGGGGACACAGCGTTGCCCGCCGGGGCACGGGTTGGGGTGGCACACGTCCGCCGGTGCCTCTGCACGCCGACACAGCGTGAAAGCACTCACACTCGACACATTCCTCGATCGCACGTGCAGCAGGATGGCAATATCACTGTCCAACAAGGGAAATATATTTTAATGTGTATGTACAGGGTGGCCTAAAAGTTAGGGCACTTTATTTTAGCACTGGCATTAAAACATTTTAATTGTTTATTATTTGAGTTAATATTTTATATTTTATCATTATTAATTTTTTTTTTCTTCCTATGGAGGAATTTACAAAACTCGACGAAGAACCCTGAATTTATTGAGCTAAAGCATAATTAATGTTAAAAGATTAAACAGCTGTAATATTTTGTTTAAAAGTCCTAACCTCATTTAAAAACATCATGCATCATGTATTAATGTGATTGGAAGTCGGTTTGAACATTTGTTAAAATAATAAAAATAACCCTATGTACGGCTTACCAAAAATACATAAAGTAGATACACCCCTTCGTCCCATCGTCTCTACTATCAACTCCCATACCTACAAACTGGCTCGTTTTCTGTCTGAAATCCTGCGGCCTTTCACTGGAAAAACCACGTCTGCGGTACAAAATTCTACTCACCTGGTATAGACAATCACGGGTATTTCCCTGTCCCCAGACGACCTGCTTGTCAGTTTTGATGTAGTTTCCTTATTCACCAAAGTTCCTGTACCTGACACCATCGCAATCATTGAAGACTTGGTTCATCAAGGACTAAACACTGAGGTACCCCCCATGGTGAGACACTGCTTAACCAATACATACTTCACTTGGAATGGAACTGAGGGCACCCCAATGGGCTCCCCTCTATCTCCGGTTGTAGCCAACATTTTCATGGAGAAATTTGAGACTGACGCCATCCAGACTGCCACTCTGCGCCCAACCTTATGGAAGAGGTACGTGGATGACACTTTTATCATCTGGCCACATGGCCGGCCTGCTCTAGACCAATTCCTTGACCACATCATTTCCATACACTCAGCCATCAGATTTACCATGGAAGTCGAAAAAGATGGCAAGCTACCTTTTTTGGATGTCCTAATAAAAAGAGACCTGATGGTTCAATGAGCCACTCTGTCTACAGGAAAGCTACCCATACGGATGCTTACCTGAAACCGGATTCCCAACACCATCCATCCCAGAAGAATTCCCTCATCAAGACTCTGCACCATAGAGCCATATGCATATCCGACCAGGAACACAGCCAGTGAACTCAAGCACGTACACCAAGCTCTTAAGGCTAATGGTTACTCCGACTACAGAATCCGCAAAGCTATCACTCCAACCATGAAGAAGGACCCTCTTGAGGAGCCATTCAAAACCATCACTTTACCCTACATTGCGGGGATCACAAAAAATATCTCCAAAATCTTGAATAAACACAAGATCCAGGTCCGATTCAACACATTACATAAAATCCGTGATCTGGTTCGGTCTGTAAAAGATGTGATTCCGGACATACAGTACCCTGGCGTCTACAAACTAAGTTGCCTCTGTGGTAGTAGTCACATTGGAGAAACCAAACAATATGTCACGGACCGCATCCATGAACACAAAGCAGACCTAAAACACGGTAGGACCAACACCTCGGCCGTGGCAGATCACTGTTATAATTCAGTAGGCTCACATGGCATTGACTTCTCCAAGACAGAGGTTCTCTGCAAGCCATCTGGCTACCATGAGAGATTCATTCATGAGGCTATCCACATACACAAACACAGAGACAATTTCAACCGAGAAGATGGATTCTGGCTTAGCAATAATTGGAAGGATTGATAAACCATTTCGGGTCTTAATTGATTGTTCTCGCTTACGGTGGCTTTCAGACCACATCCATTATTTTCTTGCTGTGCTGTGGTTTTCACTCCGGATGATGATTGCTTGTGTTGCAGTCGAAACGTCGTGAGAATTCTATTGTTTTATATGTTTATTATTGTATTGTTTCCCTTCTACGTGACTTTACTGAAAGAACCAAGAATATGAATACCTATGTGATTTGTTAAAATAAATATAATAACCCGATGTGTCCTGACTTATGGGCCACCCTCTATATAATAGGCAACGTTTAAGGCAATGACCCTTATAGCAGAGATATGGGTCATTGCTCTAAATGTTAACTATATATCTTAACTTTATACATTATATTCGTTGGTAATTATACAAGTTTGACAAATTTTGACAGTGACGCGGGTACACATGGCTGGAGCTGTTTAGAATAAAGTCCTTAATGCCTACTGTGAAGCGAACGGTGAGCACATGACTTAGTTAATGTACACACACGATTGACCAGGACAAGCGCTCTAATGCAGAATCATCATCATTGTCATCAAAAAGCGTGATCTGGTGGGTGAAGGACTCTCCCCAGGCCGTCGCCATGTCTCACGGTCTCGTGATGCGACAATCCATCTGTGCACATGAGCTGATCTCGTCGATGCATCTCCGCTGTGTACATCCTCTCTGGCGCGTCTCCTCCTTTGGCTTCCACTCCAATTGTCAGCCTCAACCCCTTGGTCATCATCGCCTGCCCTCAAGTGACGCGACGTGCCCTGCCCAAGACTACTATCTCACTCTCCCGTGCCACCGAGCTCTCTCCCAAGGTCTCCCCCAATACCTCTCACTCCACTAACCACAGAAAACCGCCGCGTCCTACAAGGTACATCGAACAATCTGATCATTGTACCCAGAACGAGGACGGTCCTGGCTGAGCGGCACTTCTCTGTAGCTGCACCAGCTTTCTGGAACTCTCTCCCGCTGCGAGGACGCAGCATCCAACCACATCCACGGCAGCTCAAGGCCCTCACACGTGCAGGCTCTCACCTGGTTGAGCCTCTCACCTGGTTCAGGCCCTTGCCTGGTTCAGACCCTCGCCTGGTTCAGACCCTCACCTGGTTCAGGCCCTTACCTGGTTCAGGCCCTCACTTGGTTCAGGCCCTCGCCTGGTTCAGTCTCTCACTTGGTTCAGGCCCTCACCTGGTTCAGACCCTCACCTGGTTCAGACCCTCGCCTGGTTCAGACTCTCGCCTGGTTCAGTCTCTCACCTGGTTCAGACCCTCACCTGGTTCAGACCCTCGCCTGGTTCAGACTTTCACCCATTCAGACTGCATATGAGGGACTTTGAGTCCTGGCTCCACGCCTCCGAGTTCTCAACCGCACAATGCATCCGATTCATGAAATATGTTGCACGTTATAAAGTAATTATTATTAGAATGCAGAATAGCGACACTAAAGATTTAGCCGAGTCCCATGACCAAATTCAAAATTACCTTGAACGCTCCGAGTCTTGTCAGATCTCAGAAGCGAAGCTGGTTAGACACTGGTGAGTACTTGGATGTGAGATTCCCTGGGAATGTCAGGTGTTATAGGCTTGGGGCTGTAAGTTGGCCAGGATGTAGAATCAGGACTGCGTGAGGTTGAGCCATACATTGGTTAAGCGTTCTGAGTTATCTCCTTTTGTTCGTTGCTTTTCTCTGGATACTCCAGTCTCACTGATGCATTCCTGGGCAAATTACTATTACTTCATGAATGTATTTAATATATATAAAATAAAAAAGATAAAATTTAATGAGGAGCCTTGCAATGTCTTGCTTATAACACTGCTGGCAGAACAACCTCTACCAAACAGAGCTCTCTAGAAAGTCCCTCCAGAGCTCAGAGGGTATTTCACCAACTTTTCCAAACTGACCCGGACATCTTGGAATATTTAGAGTACCCACACTTTACCCCACCACACGTGCGTGGCCTGCCCATTGACTGTGGTGCAACCCATTTCCGCTGCTGGCAGCAGAGACGGAGGGAAATTTTGGAAACTTTCCCCATTGTTTCAGCTGCCGCGCCGGGAGAATGAACTAATCGGCGAGCTTTGGATTCCAATCGAAGTGTGCCACCCACCATACCCTGGCAGCGTCACTCATTATTTTATAGTTTCACAACAACAACAGTGATAATCAAACTAAAATCCCCTTCAGTCGTTCATCACCTGTGGGGGTCGCGGTGTCCCGCTCCTCGCCGGCGTGCGTCGTCCCGTTGCACTCCGGGCTCGACTCCTCGGTCGTGGGGGGCCTCATGCTGCCGGGCCGGGGCACCGTCGGCACGCCCTGGTGGTCCATGGCGGTGGACGTCCGCATAGGGCGAGTCACGGCGAGTGGAACGGGCAGAGCCGGCGGGAGCTCCGCGCCGGCAGCGTCCACGCTTTCCGGACCTCCGGTTGGCACGGCGCCGACGGTGGTGGAAGATTCCAGCGCGACCACCGCTGTCCCACCCGGCCCGGCGGGTGAACCCTCGCCAGTCGGAGTGGTGGCAACCGTCGCGCCGAAGCTGTTCGCGGCCGTGGGGCGGACAGACGCCGTCGGGAAGTCAACGGCCGTCGCCGCCGCCGCCGCCGCCGCCGTCGCCGCACGCGCTGGTTCCGGCGTGCGGTGGATCGGAGTCGTGGGTGAAGGCACTCGCGCCACCTCGGCCGACTGATTGGCGACGGTCGGCAATGTCCAGCCGCCAGTGGAGCTGGAGACGCTGGCGGTCGCTCGGGTGCTGTTCCACACGTCGCCGGCGTCGCCTCCTCCTCCTCCTCCTCCTCCTCCGGGTGGCGGTGAGATGGTGAGGGGCGCGATGTCGCCGGGGGCGGCGGTGGCGGCGGTGGCGGCGGTGACGGTGGCGGTGGCGCCGTGTTCCGTGGGGCTCAAGGTCGGGGCGGCGCCTAAAGGCAGATGAAGCCAGAGATTAATTTCAGCTGGGGATTGTCCCGGGGTTGGCAATTTGTAAATACGTCTGCACCCGGCACACCAAATCCATTATACCTCTCTCGCACCTCCGATTGGCACGGTTGGCTACGTACGGTGCGAAAGAATTTAAACGTACATACATACCGTGGCTACTGTTGTCACCTGCCATTTTCAGTCTAAGCAACGACTCGGCGAGCAAGGACTGAGGCCCAGTCGCCTGTAACACGAGGGACTCATGCGATGCATGACCAGTGAGTGCCGATTGGGTTAGGAGAAACATTTGAGCGAAGAGACACCGGATTGAGTCACGCACTGGTGATGCCACCGTGGAGAGGGTCAGTGAGACATCGCAGACTTTGGGGGGTGAGGGGAGGGTGGGGGGAACCTACATTTTTCCCGTTACTTTTTAAAAATTATCAGCAGTGATCAGGGTCCCCTGCCACACATCGTACAATTCTCTCTGCCACCAAGGGGACAAGGAACATGGTTTACTTTGCACTCCGATGCCCAGGGACGTGAATAATTTGATCGGGACAATGTAACGTGATGCACCACCCTCGCTAAACGCCTGTTTTGTTCTCACCATGATGCGCTGTAGACAGTAACTTTTTAAAACTGCTCGCTATGTATAAAAATACTTTCAGCGATATATCCCGTTGCCAAGAAACACTTCGGGAATATCTTGCATTTCTGCATCACGTGGCTTCATGTAACAAAATGTTTCCCTTAGAATCGCTGATTAGGATGACGATCTGGTAGAATTTCCGAACACGCATTTACAATCTCCTGTCTTTAATGTGGCAATGTAACACTGTAATGAGCTGAACACATGCAGGTGTTAAGATAACGTAGAACTGTGCACATCTGCACAAATAGATGTGAAGAAACGCCACGTGCCTTTCCCACACATCTAAGAATGTCTCCTTTTTACTCAATTCGTTTATTGAGCACCAACCCAAGAGTGTAAAAGGGGAGATTTCTCAACAAGTGGAACATTTTTAATTTTCAACTTATAAATATAAAAAAAAATAATTTGCCACGTTTTAGTACGTTTGAGAGAAACGTCACAACTTTCGTTTATTTTCTGCTGAATAATATTATTACGATCATTATTGTGCTCATTGTGATTTAGGGGAGCGGTGGTGCAGTGGTTAGCGCACTTTATGGCCACAGCGATCGTGAGCGGCGAGTGACATTGGAACCGACCGCCGTTGGCTGTGTGCAACCTCTGTCACCAACCCGCACAGCCCAGCATGGCGAAGTACTGTACAGTCAACAGCCCTGTGACTGAAAGGCGTGGGAAGGCCTTCATCCAGCAGTGGATTGATGAAGCGTTGCACGTTAACGAACGTTATAAATTGTACTGCGTGCAACCAGTGCTTTTTTTTCCGGTCATCCTTGCAGCAGATTTTAGCTGACCATCGAACAAAGACGGTCGCTGCATCGCGCGCTTTCGGATTCGCTTCTGCGGCCGTCTGGAACGTTTTTACTTCCGATATTAGGAAGTCACCGGAGCTGTACACTATTGAATCGCGATTGAAAACTTTAGAACTCCTTTTTGTGTTTAGTTTGTCGTCCTTCCCCCGTACCTCCGATGAGCACGGTTGGCTACGCATGGCACAACATGTCAAGATACGTACATAGTTGGTGCTGCTAAACGGCGGTCGCCACTGCGGCTCCCATTGGCTGGAATGCAGCAGGTCGTCAGAGTCGTCGAGATGAGATGTCATGCGATACGCCTTCGGTTTGCCGAGGCATCTAAGCAAGCGCCTTACGAATGCAAATCTCTTTATCTTTGCAATCTACAAAGCTACCCAGTTGATCGTACAGGTCGTAGTTCGGCGGAGAGACAGCTGCTGGGCACAAGTACTCCGCTCTCTCTCTCAAGGTCCTGCACATGAGGTGGTACTTGATTTGCGGTCAAGTGCCCTTTAGAAATTTAAACCACGGATAAACACGAACGCGCTGGCTTCGCCGACGCGGCGGAGTTTCAGCCTGGGTCCTTCCCGACTGCCGTGGCTCAGTGACGTGTGGGTCTACATCTCAGGGGTTGGTGGATCACACGGAGACTACGAGGTGCTATACGGTTCCCAACTAATTCGAGGTTATTCTTGCGATTTAGCCCTCTGCCCAATTGGCAACTCCTGGGCTCGAAATCCCTCCACCAAGCTCCCTCCAGGCCCCATCTTTCTTCCTTATTTCACTGTCATGGCCCTTTCCTTCCTTCAAGCGTTCAAGCAGAATCTCCCAACGTCTCCCTCTTGGCCTCTTCCCCAACGTCCTCCCTTCTAGGACTAGGATCGCGCACGGTGGCCAAACAGACGGCGGAGACACCAAAGATGCGTCCGTCACCTATCAGTGTGGACGAGCGTGGAGTGGCATCTCCCCGTGTGTGTGGACCGTCTCCAGGCACACCACGCTCCCTGCCACGTGTAAACATGCTGAGAAGGAATCGGCAAAGACATCCCAATTGCGGGAACCACGCAAAAGAAAAGCCTGAAGTCTTTGTGCAGCCTTCCTGGCTATATCAATCGTCATTATGAGTTCATAATAAAAAAAAATCAGCTTCACGTAGCCATGTCTTGGTTACACTATTCACTGTTTTACTTGTGCTATTTTAAACTTTCCCCCCACTTTCAGTGCACGATACTTCATCGTTTTTGATCCTTGACGCATCTGAATCGGTAACGTAGAGTTCGTGTAGAATCGGCCCAACAAGATGTTGTTGTTGTTGTTTACGTTATGATTGTTATTATTCTTGTGAACCTAGGAAAACCCGAGTCTCAACTCTCTTGCGGGGGGGGGGGGGGGTTCCGCCAAGTGTTCACAGTAGGGGCGATGTTGCTATGTGTATCCTAATTCAGTCATTTGCATGTATATGTTTATTAGCATTGGAATGTTTGGCCAATGCCGGTTATTAATCGAAATCGGATCGTCGGGTTCGTAGCGCAGTGCGCTACCCACTACACTACCGTTACGCCGCGCACGCACACACAAAGACAAAGACCTCCCGTGTAGCCTTAACAGACTGTTGGGGCAAGTGCTGCTAGCGAGTAGCACTTATGAAGGCCAGCATGGCAGACGAGGGGGTGGGTGGCCAACACCACGCCCGGCCGCCTTTGTCTCCCCGGCGGTGATGTTTACACATCGCACCAGGTACTGATTTGAGGCTGAGTTAACCTCGGGGAGACCCATGACCGGTTCAGGCAATCGTCACCGGTGTTGTCCATTCGGAGCGCAGTGTGCTCAACGCTATGCACACACACACACACGCGCACACGCTTTCTTATACACACACGCGCACACATACTTTGATATACACACGGACGCGTACACGCAGAGCTCCCAAATTTAGCCTTGTAGACAAATGGGCCAAGCGCTGTTAGTGAGCACCTGTTGAGGGCAGCGCACAAGGAAGTGTTGAGGCCAACACCCAGCACGCTCGGCCACATGTTTCTCAACACTCACGCTGCACCCACGGGCCCAAGCCATCACCTGTCTTCCTAATAACCTTACTTGCAGTTGCATTTGATGTATATACTTGTAATTACCAGCAAAACGTCGTACTCAATTGTAAATGTCGTGGGTTTACTCGCCATCACACCGACGTGTTGACGTAGTAACCACTTGGCACGTTTTGCCCACGTGACAAACCTTACTAATTGTCTGTGTCGGGTGGTGGTGGGTTTACGACACAATTATATGTACGTGATCTAACCCAAAAAGCTTTGAAATTAATTATATATCCTTGTTTGTTTGTATGTTGGTACAATGCTAACCTAGTTTGTAACTGTACTATGATCCATGTAGGGATATAATAAGACAACTTTCGCTCCATCGAGTTTAGTATTTGGAATTGATTTGTGCAATGGTTTTGGTTTCTCATGGTACACAGATATTTTAGTTGTTGTGCCGATGTCAATTTGCTTCATTGCTGCACGTTATATTGTTGGTTTTGCTTTTGGAAATGTCGCGATCCAATTCACTCCTGCAAAGGAGACTCTCCTGGTGTCTTGAGACTCTCCATCTGGTTAAAAAAACATTTGCTTGAAACTTAATTTTTGTTTTGGCTGAGCTGACCATGTGGGGCTCCAGATCAGACCAAGAAAACATTTTCCCACTTGTGTAGAAAAATCACATGTGCAGGACCACATCTGAACATAGTTAACACTCTGTGTAACCATGGTGGAGTGGTGGCGCAGTGGTTAGCTTCATCCGCTGATGAGCACAGTAAACTGAATTTGATTCCTGGCTACGGCCAACATCAGTGGCGAGTGACATTTGAACCAGTCATGGGCCCTCCCTTCACCAAACCCCACACTGACCGTCACGGTGGAGTTCCGTACATCACACCCCATGACCGTCACGGAGTGCTACTATTTATTTAACACACATTGTCGTTATGTAACCTGATTAAAGCCTTGAGAGTCACAAATCACTTCCAAGGTGGTCCTGGCAAGATGGCGTTGATCAATCAGCTACCGAATCAGCATACCAAACCAATTATGATCGCACACCATAGTAATGTTTAATTGCAGGCAAAGTTAATATAAGACGTACAAAAAAATATAACACGTTGAAATAGATTCGACCATCCGATATAGCCTATCTGTACGGATTGTCGGACGATGGTGGATTTTCTCCAGGACCCTCTGGTTTATTTCCACGTGCCAAACAAACTAATGAGGCTTTTCTGGATAAATATAACGGTTATGCACATTATACGTTATCTTATCTAATTTCTTTAGAACCGATTTTGTGTTCAGTTTGTTGTCCTTCCCCCGCACCTCCGATTATCACGGTTAGCTACATACGGTGCGAAAGAACTTCAACATAGATGCAGACTCCCAATGTTATTTCCACTGAGCTCCCGGGGTCTCGCATGAGATTAAGTGTTCAGTTGTTATCGAGCAGTGTAACGCCCCATGCTAAATAACGGCCCGCTGAAGGTAAGGTCACAGAACTACTTCGGAGAACCCTTCAAGTACACATACTCATTAACTGGCTGAAAACATCTTCATATGTAAAGGAATACAGAGCTTGGGAATGTGTTGGCGCCGATTCATTGCCTGCCCTGCACCTTCTCTGTGGTTCCTCAGCGATTGTGAGACAAAAATTCACGTGAATAACGACACTATTTTAAACTAATGCACATAGAAGAGTCACGCTATCCCAGATGTTATAGAGATATAATGTAGTTGTTTGTTGTATGACAGTCAAACCGATATTTGTCATTCTTAGAGCTGGAATTATCCATGTGAAAAACTGCATTTATTTTTAGTTTTTTGTTTGTTAATAATCATCAATGACTGGACTGAAATCACGACATTTATTTTCATTTATATTCATGAGAATCCAATTCGTTCACGTTTGAGCTTCTGAGACGTGGATTCTAAAGCAGGATCTCAGCATTGCTGCTCGCACACCCCCAGCCCCCTTTAGACCAAAATACCGTTTGGGAAAATTGTGTTGGACTCTTTCGCGTTGAGAGGTGTGCACCGTACCTGCTGTGCTGGATGGCCTTCCTCGTTCCTCCAGCTCTGTTCTGGTTGTCCCAGGGGTCTCTTCCCGTGTCTCAGCAGCACTCAGCAGCAGCTGATCGTCCTCGGTAGAGGAGGAAGCGTCCGTGGACGCGGTGGAGGGAGCGGAATTGGAGGATGATGACGAGGAAAAGGAGGAAGGCGAGCTTGAGGAGGACAACAACAGGGGCTGTTCACTCCCTGGATCTTGGCTGCCTGTCCAGGTGTTGTGGGGGGCGATGGTGGTGGTGGTGTTGGTAGAGGTTCCATTGCCGGAACTCACAACTCCTGGGGCCATGAGGAGACATGAGATGGAGGCGAGGAGAAGGGGGATCCTTGGGAAGGTCGGCTTGTTTTGCAGAGCCATCTGGCCTCCAAGTTGTGCAGTCCACCCCAATAAAGCCTCGCTGTACATGTCTACTACGCCACAAAGACACCCACGCCTGTCCTAAGTGAGCTTGCAGTCATACACCTCTCCTGCCTGGTGTGTGAGCACGAGATGCTGCCTCCAAGCAGCTGTCTCTTATCAACGTATGCACCTGCCCAAGCAATTGCACCTGATGGGACTAATACAATAGCTACACACACACCTGTACTAATGTGGACTTGTACACCTGCACTGACGCAGACACTTCTTAATTAAATATACACAAGTCGTCACCGATGGGTATGGACGTCGACCTTAGCATGGACAAGAGAGGTTTAACTACGCACACAGCGCTAAGCGGCACTATTAGCGAGTAGAATAGTTGAAAAGGAGTGACTAAATTCCTTCAATAGAGCAAGGTGACAGGGGATGAGGGTAAAGTGGCCGACGTTGAGGCAATTACAAAGTGGAGCAGTGCGAGTAGAGAAGTGGGGGGGGGGGGGGAGTACAGGTGAGGTCACCTGTACCTGAGAGGATTGGGTTTGGTGGAGCCCAGCGACTTCTCAACGTGGCTGGGTAGGTCGTGACCTCTGCGGAGCCCGACCACAGCATGCAAGCCCACCTCGACGCCCTTCGTCACACAAGCAGCTGCTTTTTTGCCCTTCATAAACTCGGCCTATACGCACACCTCTCTTCACCTGCACACACGTGCTCATCGATCCGTGATCGACCCCCTGCGGGCTCACGGCCCGAACCGCTGCCGAAATCGAACGGCGACTCTCGCAGCCCCCTTTCGCGCGAGTTGCAGGGCTCACTTATTGTTGTTGTTGTTGTCCACTTTGGTTTACGTGTCATCCAATGTTAGGTCGACGTCAAAGGTGTCCCATTTGAAAGGTTCCTCCGACTATTCCGAGAGCTGACGATCGATTTTGGCGTCAACTCGACGGCTGTTGTCGACGTCAGGTTCAGTCGATGTCAACAAAAAAGCGCACGTGATCAATGGCTTGTCAAAGATTCGTTCAGCTGCTGTTGTTGATGATATTGTTGATGATGGTGTTCTTGTTGATGGTGTCGTTGTTGTTGTTGTTGATGGTGTCGTTGTTGATGGTGTTGTTGTTGATGGTGTTGTTGATGTTGTTGCTGATGTTGTTGCTGATGTTGTCTTTGTTGTTGCCTCCGTCTTTGTATAATTGTTGGTGATTATGGTGTTGTTGTCTTTGTTGTTGTTGGTTTCGTCTTTTATTATTGTTGTTGTGGGTTGTTGCTGCTGTTATTGTTGTTCATTCCATAACTTGTGTCGTATTGCGACTCGGTAAATACGATGTCAAAATAGATCAATCGCTCTGCATATTCCGACCAGCCAGCATTCGTCATCGGCAGCAGTCCCATCTGATGCACTCGCTGCACATCAACGCCGTCCTTATGATAACATCACAGATCAACGTAATATTTAAGACATGTCGGTCTTCGCGATACGCGACGCCTCAACGTAAATACTCATTCAATTGAACGTAAACTGTTAAACCGAGTTAATAACGCACCTTCGACGTGGAACATTATTCACGGCATCCACGCTGAGCGCAGTCAACAGCGCCTCCATTCATCGAGCGAGCGGTGACCCGGTGCTGGCTCGGGGTCGACAATGCCGATCATCTTCCTGCTGCCGATCATCTTCCTGCTGCTGCTCCTGCCGATGACGATAATCCCGTGCCTTCGCAGCCGGCGCAGGGCACACGAGTGAGATGAGAGGGGAATCCTGGTGGCTCCTCCTCCTCCCTCTCGTCCTCCTCCTCCCCACCACCATCATCATCACGTCACCCATCATTACAGCCCGGCATCACGCACACGCACGCACACCCATCACTGGGAATCGCTGTGCTTGGGATGGATGGGTGGGTGGGTGGGGAGCGGTGGCGCAGTGGTTAGCGCACTGCGTTACGAACCCGGCGACCTGAGTTCATAAAAATAATTATTTACATTTGTAAGGCGCATTTCTTCCGTAGATCTCGATGCGCTCCGTGTATGGGAAGCCAGGAAATGAACAGAACCTGCAGGGAAAACGGCCAGAGCTCAGGCAGGGGTAAAGGCCAGTTTAAAAGAGGTGAGTTTTCAAGACGGACGTAAACATAGCTGACGATTCTGATTGTCTTACTCGCAGAGGCAAAGGGTCCTAAAGTATGAGCTTCACTGGCAAACATCCCCCATCGCCCCGGGAAGCGAGCCTTGAAGGTGATCCGTAGACCTCAGGGAACTCGTTGCTCGACAAAAGGATAGAGGAGTTGACTGTATGTATTGCGAGGCTAACCCATTGAGTGCCTCGTAGGTCAGCAGGCGAACATCGACCTCGCGTCTCCCCTAGGTCGACTCGGCCTTAAATGAGTACACGGAGCGCTGTGTAAACATCAGCAGTGGGAAGGCAACGGTGGCCTGGCGTGACTCTCGCCCTACAAGCCTAAATAGATGCTTGCTAACAACACTTGCCTCGTTAATACTGTACAAGTGTTTTTAGTTGTTTAAATCCACTGCTGGACGAAGCCATCCTCAAGGTCATGACAGTTGTTTGACCAAACTTCAACACCCTGATTCGTGCAGGCTGGGGGAGGTGGAGCCCACTGCAGGTTCCGTTAACAATGACCGCTCACGTTAGCCCTGAATCCAACTATGGGCCCGGGGTTAAGGGGCCGTCCATAAATGACGTCACGCGAGTTTGGACGATTTTGGACCCCCCCCACCCCTCGTCAGACGGCGTCACAAAAAGTCAGACCCCCCCCCCTCAAATATGACGTCACAAAGCTCTGCCCCCCCCAAACGATAAAACATGCTTCAAATCGCTTTAAACTATTGTCATTGTAGTGCGTATTTAATGTGGCGCTGCACTCTGATGTTGTAGGAGTGTTGTTATAACAATTAGTGTTGTTACAACAATTCTATATTTATTTAAAGGTGCGCATTTTGATGTGACGTCACATTTCTCAACTCCCCCCCTCCTCGTCACACATCGTCACAAATGTCTGACCCCCCCCCCCCACTAGGGGCGTGACATCATTTATGGACGGCCCCTAATAACGCAGCGCGCTAACCACTGCGCCACTACTCCCCGCTATGTGCTTGTCATACAGCCTTAAATCCAGCATCTCACCAGAGGTAGTCAACATCGACACGTGGCAGTCAAAGACGGCCGAGGCGTGGCGTGTGTGGTTGCATGGTCACATGTGCCACCCTCATACATCAAGTGGCTGTTGCCGATCTGAATGGATGCTTACTCACTACTAGCCCGTCGCTCTCCAGTCTTGTAGGCAGGCAAGTATGCATGCAGACGGAGACGATGCATTTGTGTGTGTGTGTGAGCTGCAATCTTGCCAAATCGTGCCAGAGTTGCAATTGCCTGAGGTCGTTGTTGGAAAAGCGCCGAGAATATAAAAGAGGGCGTTGAAGTGCTGTGTTTGTAGGTGTGTCTGTGTGTCTGTGTGCATATCGGGGAGCACCCTATGAAGGCCTGCACGGCACACGAGGGGGTGGGTGGCCAGCACCACGCCCGCTCACCTTTGTCTCCCTAGTGGCGATGTTTACACACCGCACCAGGTACTAAGTTGAGGTTGAGTTGACCTAGGGGAGGCCCGTTACCGGTTCACATATCACTTACCACCAGGGCTTAATGGCTCAGGTAATATTTTCTGCAAGATTGCTCGGCAGGCTTAGGTTAGGGAATTAACGGCATAAGGCACTACCACGAGAGTACAAGGTACGCCTATCCATAATCATATACAGTATTATATGGAACACACAAATATTTCCATCATCCTGCGAAACCACAATGTCATGAGGACAAAATGAGGCGAGATGGATGTGGAGTGCCAAAATAATTCCCGGAACAGCGTTCTGCACTCTTCCACATTAAATGATTCCCTGCATACCACGAATTGTGTGGATTACCGGGAACCTGCCTTAGATCACAGGAGTGTTCGACAGCATATGAACCACTGTGGTACACACACACACACACAATGCGTGTTGTTTAATGTTCATACATTTTAATTCTGCGGTATTCATAAACAAAATATGTGATTAATTAATGGACACTTCATTCGATAGGCAGAGACATGCCTGCCTTGAAGACTGGGATTCTGCAATGATTAAAGGATAATTATTGGCATACGACTGCATTATTTGTGTACGGCAGTTCGTGCAATGAATCGCACGAGAAGATAACAGGTAAAGGCGCAGCCCTGCAATTGCATTCTCACGCCACTGCTGGCAGAAGGGCATCCACTAGAGGGACCGCGGTTGGTTACGTACGGTGCGAAAAAAGTTATAAGTTCAACATAGCGATCCTCACACCGAGGCTATGCGGCCTACTCTTCCACGCTGGCAAAACGTCTTTGAAGAGGTGGGAGTACCCAAGCCTCACCCCACCACGCAAGACCTGCAAATTGACTGCCACTGTGGTGTTCTGCTGGGTGAACAGAGGTGGAGGGATCCAAGAAACTCGCCCAATATTCCAACCCCCGCGCTGGGAGTTGGAATCAAACGCCGACTTCGCGATTGAAGTGAAGTGCGCTAACCATTACCCCCAAAGCGGCTATAACCTCCAAACATGCGGGAATGCTCAACACTGTAGTTGTACATACAAACACGCCCGACCTCCAGTGGTGACCCACCGCTAATTTTTAACATGGGAGGAATTTGCGGTTTTGATTTTTAAGCAGAGACCTTTTGAGTGCTCGTTGGTGTGTGAAATTAAAAGGCGTGCGTTTGAATCTCTGGGGCGACTGGCCCTTTTAATCAGAGCCAATTAATTACCGAGCAGAGAAACAACGTGCAATGTGTAAATTCATGGTCACTCCTTGTACCGCTGGAATTTCCTACCAAGTCTTCCCAGGGCAGCAGTTGTCAAACCTACTTGTGGCGCGCAGGCTGCGGCATGGATACCGTGCAGGAGAAATTCCCAACGTGCGCGGGAAAGGTCAGCGCCACGTTGCGGCGACAGAACACAGTAACACGAAGCAAAAATCCTTACTAATACCGCGTTCACCAGCGGTGTTGATGTGTGATTTATCTTTGTATTGTGGGCCTATGTCATGAAACTTCACGCGTTGGATTTCACAACCAATCAGATTTGCAACTGATTCGTGGGTGAGGCCACAATGATGATTACATCGTGGACTCACCCAAATATGAATTATGAATCGGTGTGAATAAAGATATACGGATCTGGTCACGCGCACCAAAAGCATAATACGCACCCCAACTTTTCTTTCAAAATACAGGGGTAAACAAAAGTGCGTCTCATAATCTGGAGAACATGTTAACTTGTATCGATGATACCCTTCAAGAGTAGTAATTGTTACCTGGACGCTTGGCGGTTTGAACCTTGGGGCCTGTGCTCAGCAACCGTGATTTTCAAAGATAAATCAAGCAATGAGACAATGACCATCTCTGTACGTGTTCCTGGCAATTCCACATTCCCACGGCCAGAAGTACATGCTTCCATTGGAGCACCCACTGTCGGCTTCCCACAAAGTGGTACACAATTTCCTGATCTTGCAAGGATCACTGGCTGAGTTGACCTCCCCAACTGAGAATTCAGATTCTGAATGTTTATTTAAACTGGATGAATCCGTTGAGCAGTGAAGCTCTTTTCACAGATGTCCAGGAGTTGAATCATAATTGAAATACAACCTTCTGCTCGGGAGTCAAGTACGCAGACCACACACGATTCAACGTCTGGATGCATACAGGAGACACGTGTGAATGTTGTACCCCTATGTAAAGCACGCGATGTATTACTATACATTACACTGGGACATTGCACCAAATTCCATTGTTTTAATGTACTATGATCCACGGTCTATGCGCCCTACCTTCGCAGCAACCCGCAGTGATCAGGGTGTTTAAGTTTGCCCAAATTACTGCCACCCCACAACCCTTACGTACAGCGTGGGGAGACCCTTATCCAGCAGTGTATTGACGAAAGGGATGTACATTTACACATATGTTACATTGTTGTCCTGAAAGTTTAGGAAACATATGACAGCTCTAGACTTTAAAGTACACGATTGTTCTCAGCGCTGTGGGAAAGCGAGATCTGTGGTGGTGTCAGACAATTCGTTCGTGGTTCGAAGCAGGCGTCAATTTTGTGTGCGTCACTTGATGACAAAACTTATACGCTTGGGCAAGCTACGTTGCTTAGTTGTATCACAGTCGAGTGAAAGAATTTCGGGAATGTATCTATTACAATGAAACACGTTTAAAGTGTGAGATTGCCATGTCGATTGGGATCTGAGTGCAACCTGATAGATAGTTTACGCATCCCCTCTATTTTCATGAATCCGGGGCCCCTGCAGCTGCTTGGGGCCTTACGCTTTGCTTGGCTTCTTGCACAAGCGTCACTACTGCACAAAATGCACAAGTAAAAATTCGTTCCACTTTCAAAAAGAATGCGACTCCTTGCGAGCAGTTGTAGCTCAACAGCGTCCTTGCACTCTCTCACGTCTCCCTGGTGAGCACTTAAAAGCGAAAAATGTTTTCCAGACACACAAAAAAAACGCAACGCAACTTTCAGCACTGCAAGGGAGCCTCGCGTCATCTCGAACCGAAGCTGTGAAATGCAAAAGTGGGCCTCGTTAGACACAAATGTAGCCGTCTACAACAAACTGGAGACAAACATCCCACAAGCGAAGTTTCTCGAGCACAAAGCGTTAACAAATAACGTTTGTTAGGATAAACTTTTTAAGCTTCCCTTTGCGATTCATTGTGTGTCGGAAAGACACGCCCTGGAGGCCTGGGACAGGATCAGTGATTTTGTGTGTGTGTGTTGTTGTTCGTGTTGAGCTCTCACGCCACCCCTTGCCCGCTCTCTCTCTCTCTCCCTCTTC